CTGGGAATGGCTTCCTATAGCCAGAATGGGTTTTTAATTTTCTTACTGTGTTTAGAGTGGGCCCAGCCTTGAGGCACTTTGGGAGCCTAGGGTATAAGAGTTATTTAACAAGTACTGACCTCAGCACTTTATGCTAACTCTAGTGATCTAGTAATCCACGTGTATTAGCTGTCTGCGGTGGGCGCTGTTATCATCCCCATTTCACAGAAGGGGAACTGAGGCTCAGAGAGATGAATCATCTTCCCAGGGTCATTGGAGTGGTCAGTGGATGCTCCAGCCTTCAGACCCATCAGCTGTTCCAGAATCTGCCTTTTGAGACAGGGAGAGACCCACCGAGCTCTCATGAAGCCTCAGTTCTCAGGGGGCAAGATAAATGAATATTTCTGGGGCATTGAGCCAATTTTTCCTATTTAGGCATTTCCCTTCTTCAAAGTTGGTCAGGGATGGACTTACCCAAAATGATTGTCGCACCGATCCATTCAGTCCCATGTATGTTAGGATCCTGTGTTAGAGAACCCAACGGTAAGGAGGATGTGGTTCTTGCCCTCGAGTGTACAGGTGAGATGATGGAAAGCAAGAGAAGTCCCACAAAGAGAGGTATAAATAAAGGGCTGTGCTAGGTCAGCGGGAGGGCGGATCTCACCCACTGGAGGGAATCAGAAGAGGCTCCCTGGAGGAAGTGGCGTTTGAGATGAGCTTAGAAGGGTGATCTAAGTTCATTAGACTGACATGAAAGAGAGATGAGAGGCAGGCCAGGTGAGGTACTGGAAGAACATGAGCGGTAGGTGGCCCTGGGAGCAGGCCAGTGAGCCAGGGTCGGGCGCAGCCAGGGAGGAGGTGGGATTGGGCTTTTGGAGGAAAGGATAAGTGAGGGCCAGGCTTCCTGGGGTGGCGAGCTAGACGGGCGAAGGAGAAGCTTCGGGTGAGAGGAAGGAGAGGTGGGCAGCCTGAGGGCATGGGCAGCTGGACTTCAGTCCACGGGGGGATGGTATCTGAGGACGCCACGGGATAAGGGGAGCTGTGGCTCGGGAGTGTGGGCCCGGGGGGAGCTTGGTATGGAGCTGGCGAGGGGGTAGGACAGATATGGGTGGGGGTGGATGGGGCCCTCCCATGGGGAAGTGACTGCCTCAGGCCCCTGACGGCTGTTCTGCAGAGGCCTCCTCCAGGCCTGAGGAGGAGAGGTGGAGGGAGGGCTGAGGTGAGCTGTCCTCAGGCTGCCATCACTCTGGTGAGGGTGCCAAAGGCCACGGCCCAGGTTCGTGGGTTCCTTGGAGGAGACAAGATGCCTGGAGGAGGCATCTTCACTGTCCCTCTTCCGCCATCCCCTACCTCTCTTTGGAGTTAGACAGGCTAACTGAATCCCAGCTCTCCCTTTTACTAGCTGTGTAGTCTTGGTTACATGACACTGAGTCTCAGTTTGCATATCTGTGAAATGGGCAGAAGAATGACATCTTCCTCACAAGGAATTGTGAGGATTAAAAGAAGTTAATACATGTTAACTGACAACACAGCACATGGTAAATAGTGAATAAATCATAACCCTCATTTTCCTTCCCCGTTTCCTCAGACCTTCGCCCTTGCTCCAATCCAGCAGGTGTGTGACCCTCCTCTTTTACCTGAAGGGCCACACCCTGAGGCTCCCTTTCGCCCAGCTCATGGCCCACTCAGACTTGAGCTCCGCTCTCAGCAGCTTTGCCCGGGCCTGTGGCCTCCACGGGGGCTGGCAGCCCTGCGCTTGCTGAGCTCTCAGAGTGTGGGGCTGCCATCTGGTAGGGCAGGCGGGAGCCAGGCCCATGTGTGTGGCCAGCCAGGGCATCACACTCGATGCCCATCCCTCCTGTTCAGTAGGAAAAGATGGGGTGACTTTTGGGAAGCCAAAGAGGCCCTGAGCTTGCCTCTTCTGTGTTTATGGAGGCCAGAGGCCTACTTTTCGCCCAGCCCCTCCCTCCTCACACACGCGCTCACACCCACTCACTCCTGAGCCCTCTTCCGCTGTTTCACAGCCTGCCCACACTCCTCCCCGGCAAAGCCCCTTGCAAATGCTCGCTTTGGGGACGGCAGCTTTCGCCTCTGAATCAGGACCTGTGAGTGTTACTTAGGAATTGTGCGGGAGTTGAGGAGGCTTCTGTTAGGCTGAGATGATAATTGCACTATTTAAAGATGGCCCTGGAGCCAGAAGGAGCCAGAAGGAGCCAGGTGTCCTGGTGCGGCTGTCCTAGGGCTCCCTTCTGCTCACTGTGCTTGTGCAGCGGGCGGGGGCAGGGGCAGAAGGTCCTGGACAGTCATCTCAGGGGCATCTGCCTGGCAGCCCTCTCTGGGCTTATCTTCAAACCAGCTCTACGTGATGCCATTTTGCCAGGGGAAGTGTCCTTGCTACCTGGCACCTGGTTTGGAGGGAGGCCGGGAGAGGGCTGGTGGCACCAAAGCCAGCTTCTCAGTTGCTAAAATGACCGGGAAGATTGGGGGTGGGGGGGGTGGGCAACTTGGACCAAATAGCCAGTACCACCCGGTGGGCGGCGTGAGGTCCCGTTCTTCCCCTGAGAACTCCTCCAGCCCTTTCCTGTAAGGAGCTCGGAAAACTCCTCCCGCAGGCGCCCAGCACGAAGGTGATTCATACCCCTACCATCATAGGGAGCTTTCTACTTTTCAAACTCTGCTCCTCCGTGATCTCATTCCTCTAAGGTAGGCAAAACAAGGGTCGTGGGTTTCATCTCGTAGCAGAAGCCTCAGTAGAGGATGACAAGCCCGAGGTCCTCTAGCTGGTCTGTGACAGAACTGTAACCCAGATCTCTTAAGTCCCCGCTCTGGGCTTCTCCCTTTGTACTACACTGCAGGCTGCCTGGGGGTCTGCTGGGCCGAAGCCGTTCCCGGGGTACCTGAGCTCCTGAGCACACTATATTCTTCTTCAGAGGGTAGCCTCTGCCACAAGGAGCCCCTTCCCCGGCCTGCTCTCCTCTTTGGCCTCTCACGTCTTCTTGGTGTACGTAGGCAGGGGAGTGCAGGGGGCAGGTGGTCTTGAGCTTGGAGAGAGGTGTGATGGGGCCATGTGGCCTTTCAGCTTCACAGCATTCATGGTAGAGGGGGCTGGGTACGGGGGCGGGGAGAGTCGGAGGAATGGCCGCTAGCAGCATCAGTGAGAAGGCAGCTCTGGCCGGACTAGGGCAGCAGCCCTCTGCTCTGCTCCCAGCCGCTCTGAGGGGCAGGTAGGCGAGTGTGGGCTGCCCTGGCAGCAGCAGTGTTGGGGAAGGTAGGGTGCACACCAGCCTTCTACCTTTCGCTTCCGTAGCCCTTTGGAAGCCTGCGCTCCACAGTGGCTGTCTGGCTTGGGGAAATGATCCCCTTGATCGGAGTTTGTGTCCAATTTCTGTGTCTGGGAGTGTGTGTGTGGCCACGTGTGTATATGTCCTAGGTCTCCATGTTCCTGTGTCTGCCTGCGTGCGCATATGTGTATGTGCGCTGTGTGTATGCCCACATGCCTGCTTGAGCTACTGGGCGCTGGGTCCCTCTGAGAATGGCTATGGGTGTGAGCCCCAGAGTTTTCAAGCTGATGCTCTAACTTTCATTGGATCCAGGCCCCACATTCCTCCCCAGCCTCCCTCTTGTTGCCCCCCATTTCTGCATGGATCATCAGTACTCTAGGGGTGGGGTTCAGGAGAAAGAGGCTTGGCCCTTCTTCGTTACCCCTAACGGGTTCAGTCCTACCCCGGGCCTGCCCAGGATCTGGCCTCTCAGCTCACACTGAGTCCTGATGCCCTTGTTCACCCTGATCCTCCCAATCTGCCTATTATTCCCACTGCGGAGGGGTGGACAGGAGGCTTTCCTTGCATCTCCCGTAAGCGGAGGGAGAGGGGAAGGAAGTAAAGCACCATTTATAGGCCACCTCTAGTGTGCCTATCACTGTGCTGGGGGCTTCACGCTTCTTCTGTCCTGTAACTGGGAGCTCTGAAGACAGTACCCTCTGAAAACTAATTAAGGTGGTGGCTTTCTAACAGTGGGCAGGGAGGTTGGAAGCTGATGGTAGGCAGAGAAATCCCCAGCTGCATGCCGCCTTCCTCAGTACAGCTTCCTTTGCTCTGACCACTGGGCTTCCCTGTGCGAGGCTTAAGGCATCACTAGAGCCAGGCTGTGTGCACGCTAACGCCCTAGCTGGTGAGTTATGGCAGTGCCAGCAATGGGGAATTATACTGAAGGAGCAGATTCTGAGCCATGAGCAGGGGACCCCACATGCCCCTCACCCCCACATCAACCCTGGGTTCTTTTCCATCATTCAGTTCCTGCTCCAATGCAGAGGTGGTAGGCTGAGTTCAGAATCCAAGCCTGCTGACTGCCAGGCCTGCATGCCGTCCTCCTTGGCAGGTTTCAGAAGTGGGGAATGACTTGAGCCAGAACCTCCCCCCTGAATTATGGGCATTGTAGCAGGTCAGGGCTCTCTGCCTGCCCCAGTGCCCAGCCTATGCCTCTCCAAGGCCTTAGCCGTGTTGTGCCAGTGGTCAGGGCAGGAACTACTCTACCTATGAGCCCTGGAGTCCAACTTTTGGGACTCACACCCACTAATAGCGCTTTAACCCCTCTGCACTCGCCTTGGCTTGAGTGTGGGGGGAAGGCTGTGGGGGGAGAGGCCAGAGACCCTATTTTCTCCCCTCCCACCCCCAGGTCTCAGGAGGACTCTGGGCAGCCTGCCGGCTGCTCCCCTACCGCTGACTGAATCATTTCTATATTTGGCCAGCGAGCCACGTGGGTGGGGAACCACTGCCACTGCGGCTGCACTTCTGACAGCTGGGGGGAAGGCAGAGGCTAGGCACTAGGCATGTGCATGCCTTGGGAGAACTAGGGAGGCGCCATCAGAGTGAGCAAGCCTGGAGAAGGGACATGCACCAACATTGCCACACCTCCCTCTCCGCCCCCACGTGCTAGTTCAGGTCCTGTCCCCCCTGCGTCACACCCTCTGCTGATGCCGTTCTCTATGCAGCTGGTCCTCACAGCAGTCTCTTTTCCCACAGACCACACTGCCCTCCAGAAACGATGGGTGTCACTAGACCCAGCTGGGACTCTGCCAGGCTCCAGAGCTCAGTCTAAGAGAAGGGCCATCTTCCAGCCCTGCTCCCCCTGCCTGTCATGGCCACATTCGGCTGCTGCCTGCTTGTTTGGGAACACAGGGCACCCAGCCCCAGCCCTGAGAGGTTAAGCCAGGCCTTCTGGCTCCATGTCGCAGGGGCACTCCCGGCCTCAGGCCCCGTTCGGAGCAAGAGCAACTGATGACATGGGAGAAGCCCCTGCCTACCTGTCCGTTCACCTGGCACTGCCCGCTCTGAGACCCATGCACTGGGTTCCCCTGGAGGTGCCAACCCTGTGAGTCCCTCCCCTGTTCCCTGACGCTGAGAAGGCCCTGCCTAGCCCCACCATGTGTGAAGTGATGCCCACAATCAATGAGGGGGACCCCCTGGGGCCCCCCCATGGCGCCGATGCTGACGCCAACTTTGAGCAGCTGATGGTGAACATGCTGGATGAGCGGGAGAAGTTGCTGGAGTCCCTTCGGGAGAGTCAGGAGACCTTGGCGGTCACACAGAGCCGGCTCCAGGATGCCCTGCATGAGCGGGACCAGCTCCAGCGCCACCTTAACTCCGCCCTCCCCCAGGTAAGGCCTAAAGATCTGCAGCTCCTTTTATCCCCTTCTCCTCCCCAGCCCTGCTAGATCCAACAGCCGCTGGGCCCTCGGCTCGTCTGCATCTATTTGCACATCTACTGTTAGAATTCACAGAGCATTTACTTTCCTTGTCTTCCGACTTAAATCCTTTCCCTGTCACTCCCAAGCTCCTCTGCCTGGAATTGGCTTCCCCTGGAGAAATGGTTTGAATTTGATGCAGGAAGAAACCCGTAAGTGTCAACTGCAGGGAGCCCAGGCAGCCAGTAGGTGGCACCCCAGACTGGAAAGAAACCTCATCCTTGACTGCTCCTCCCCAGCGCCCTGCTGTTGGCGGTGGCGGGTGGGAAATCACAGAGAGGGAGGTGGGAGAAGCCTTAGAGATCACCTAGTCCAGCTCTCTTATTGCATAGATGAAAAAAGCAAGAGACATCGCGTAGAAAATTGTAGGCAGAGCTGAGTCTAGGAGCCAGGTGTCCTGACACCCTTTCTGATGCCCCTTGGCAGCATACTGCTCGTTATGATGTAGTCACCATTTATTGTGTATTTTCTGTGTACTAAGCACTTTGTATGGATTAGCTCACTCAATTCGCACCACCATTTTGCAGATGATGAAACTAAGGCATGGGGAGATTAATATGTTGCTCATGACCGTCAGTTATGTGGTGGAGGCAGGAATTGAACCCCGGGCTGTGTGACTCCGGAGGCCAGGGGCTTCACCCCTCCCCTTCGCTGCCGGGCCCTGGAGGCCTCTACTGCTTCTCACTTACCATTGGTAGATATTGCAGGCAAGACACATGCTCTGAGGAGGAGAAGGGAGCAGGAACCTGGGTCGTCGGGTGTGAACTCTGCCTGGTAACCGGGCCCAGGGAGCAGTGGGCTTTGTCTGTCGGTGAGCACAGCACTCACAGCAACTGTGTGAACGTCCTGCCCTCGCCACGTCCTCTCATGAGCAGAGAGCTGAGTATCCAAAACCAGGCACCAGACGTATTGCATAGCCTCCGCCAACCCCAGCAGCACCTCATAGCTGGCGGGGGTACTGCTGGGGCTAGGAGAGGCAGCTCCGAGGAGCCAGACAGCTCAGGCCTCAGCAGCAGGCCCCTGCTCCAGCATGGGGAGAAGAACCAGGTTGGGCCTGGTGGGTGAGTTTCCTGCCCAGGGCTCAGGAGTCATGCTTTATTGATAAAAATGTGGAGGCCTAGTGAAGAAGTGGGTTGGGCAGATGGGCCCCACCTACCTCGTTGTGTAGGAGGCCCTGAACCTGGCCTGGAGTGAATGAGCTAGTCCCTACCCCCAAGGAGCTCAGAGACTAGAAAGGAGACACACAAGAACCCACATGACTGGGAGAGAATGTAGAAGAAGATAAGAGAGGCCTAAAAGGGTTGTTGAGAACAATATCAGTGATAAAAATAGCCATCTTTGATGTGCTTGGGCTAAGAGCTTTCTATATATTGCCTCATTTAATCCTTATAGCAACACCTGGAGGGAGGACTGTTACCTCTATCTTACAGATCACAGAATGAGGTTCTGACAGATTAGGTAACTTGTCCAAGGTCACACAGCTAAGGAGGGCAGAGCTGAGATTTGATCCCAGGCTTACCTGACTTCTACACTGGAAGTTTTGTGAAGGCGGGGTTGTGTCTTTCTTGTCACTGTATCCCCAGTGACCATCATGGGACCTGGTACATGATAGGTGCTTGTGGATATTGTGGTTGAATAATGGACTCCCGAGTTGGTGCTCTTAACCACTGCCCTGAACAGATTGCAGGAGAGGGAGAGCCTTCCACTGGGGGGGCTGGAAAGCTCCCAAGGAGGCTGTATTCTTTGCGATGGGCTTCGAAAGATGAATATGATTTCATCAGGTGGTGACAGAGGGTAGGGTTTTCTGGGACAGGTGGGGGGGAGCCCGCTGAGCAAAGGTGTGGTATTGGGAAGGCTTGCTGGCATCTAGAAACAGCAAGTGACCCAGGTTACCTGGGTCTTAGGGTGTACGGGAAGGAACCATGAGAGAGAAGTTTGAACACCAGCATAAGAAGTTTGTATCTGTAGACAGTGTTGTGCTTTAGGAGATTATCCTGGCAGCAGTGTGTCAGATAGGTTAGAGGTGAGGAGGGAGGGGACAGGTGTCCGAGGTGGGGAGACGAGGCAGCCACTGAGCTTGAGACCAGGGCAGGGGAGAGCACCAGCCCTCTGGTGGTGGTGTCCTGGTGTAGGGCTAGGGGCCATGCCACTCAGCCCTGTCTCTGGACACAAGCATGGACACACGTGTGCATGACTGTGTGTGTATGCGTGTGCGTGCGCATGTGCACGCACATGTGTGCAAGCTGAGGGTGAAGCAGCATCAGGCCCAGGTCTTGCCTTCCAGAGTATGAGGTGCTTGACCTTGACCACCAGTGGCCATGGCCTTGATAGAAAGGCAGTAATCAAGGAACAGGGTCAGAGGTTCATGGTTTCTTATGCTCCGGCATCTCTATCTCTGGTCCCTTGTCCCTTCCCACAACCCTTCTAGCCCCTTTTGCCTGATTTGGAGTGATAAGAGGGGATTGCTTTGGGAATTCTTCCTTTGCTCATGAACCCTTGGTGTGAGGGAGGCTGCAAGTTACAATGGGGCTGCGCTGTTCAGTCACTGTCAGACCTGGGGCATCCACAGAATTTGGGCCACTCCTCTGAAAACCTTTCTGGGATGAGGTGATATTTAATCAAATAAATAGGGATATGATGAACCTGAAACTGTGGGGCCAGTCTCTCACCCCTGTATGCTCGTCCTGATGGAGGAGGGTGGGCTGGAAAGTCTCTGAACATGTCTGGGCCTGAGAGTGTGGGAATGGGCCCCCCAGAAGAGATACTTGGTGCGTGGATACTCGGAAAAGCCAGGGTAAGTGCCTTGGCAACAGGTGCTGGGACGCAGCCCTCTCTTGGTTGAGTGGGGCTCCCAGGAAGCCAGAGCTGAAGCTGTGTGTCCACCTGATTGGGCAGGTCTCCTGGCTCTCTTGCTCCTATGTAGGTGGGTCCTTCCATCCACTGATTTCACTCTCCATCTGCAGCTTGCAAAGCCCCGGGGAGAGGCTGGAGGAGAGCTCCCTGGGCACTCGCTCCCACATTGTCTTCCCTCTCTGATGACCATCGGTTTCCATTTGGACCTTACTCTGCTAAACCAGAAGCAGAACTCCCCACCATCAGTTTCTAAAGGAAAATGTTGTTGAATTGCTGGGGCAATGGAAATGCCAAGTGGGAGGGAGGACATGGTCTGGTCACGTTGGTGGCTGGGATGGGGGAAGTGGCTGCAGAGCACACTCAGTGACCTTCTCACTCTCGTATCCAGCTCTGTCCCCTCGGGTCCTAACACACGCTTGGAATGCATGGGGGGCCCATAGACACGGACCCCTCTGGGGAGCACATGCTAGTCGCAGGTTTGCTGCCCTGTGGTGTGCTGGAAGCAAGGGACGAGTGAGAGGATCCCACACTGACCTGAGCACGCAGGACGCTGCGGAGGGGCTGAATCCCCAAGTACTGAGAGGCCTTGGGGGTTTTCAGGAATTTGCCACCTTAACCCGGGAGCTGAGCATGTGTCGGGAGCAGCTTCTAGAGCGGGAGGAAGAGATATCAGAGCTGAAGGCAGAACGGAATAACACAAGAGTAAGTGGGGAGGACCTGGGTGTGTGCGTGCGTGTATGGGGGTGGGGTATGAACACCTTGACCCAGAGAGCAGGCAGGACAGGGGCCAGGCCCAGCCCAGCCCCATCCTTACCATTTCTGCCTCCCATCCTAGGGGGATAGTCAAATCATTTAACCACCAATGCTCGCCTTTCACCTGTTGTTGCTGTGTCATTGAAAGGTCGGGGTCCCCGGGGAGAGGCAGGGCAGCCGGCTTGGGGGTGGCGTTCAACGGGGGCAGCGGCTATGTACCAGTATGGGTGACTTTCGGCGTTTAACAGGGGCAGGACTGTACTGATGTCTATTCAGTGATCATGTGGGCACATGCTCACAACCCTCCTGCTCATCTCTTCCCTCCCCCTGTACCTTGCCAGCTGCTTCTGGAACATCTGGAGTGCCTGGTGTCCCGCCACGAACGGTCACTTCGGATGACTGTAGTGAAGCGCCAGGCCCAGTCGCCCTCAGGGGTCTCCAGTGAGGTGGAGGTGCTGAAGGCCCTCAAATCATTGTTTGAGCACCACAAGGCCCTGGATGAGAAGGTGCCCGCCTCCTCCCAACCCCTGTCCAGCCAGGCTTCCCTGGAGCCGGGGTGTTTCCCTCCTCTGAGGTTTCTGCATGCAGTGTTTAGGGAAAACTGCCTTCTAGCTTCGAAACCGGCTCACTCCTGCCACTGGCCTCATTTCCAGGTCCTCTGCTAGGTCCCCTCCCACAAATCTGCCTCTTGGCAGGCCCTTCACTTTCCCTGATGCCCAGCGGTGTAGACTAAGCCCAGCCTCTTCCAGCCTGAGCCCAGTGGGGTTCCCCTTTCTTCCTCCACCTCCCCTTTCCTTGGGCAGGTGCGAGAGCGGCTCCGGGCAGCGCTGGAGCGAGTCACCACCTTGGAGGAGCAGCTGGCAGGTGCCCACCAGCAGGTAAGCTGCCTGCCCACCCTCAGTCTACACACTGCAGCTCCTGGAAGCCCAGGCTGGTTTACCACTGTGCTCCCCTCTGTTCCTCCTCGGATTTCTCCCCAACTGTGGCCGAGACTGTAAGCCAAGGCTAGGCTGGACACCTCTTTCTAGGAGGCAGGGGACTCAGAAGGGTCTGGAATGTATGGGAGGTTTTCTTCTCTTTGACTCATTGCCTTGGGGACTGTGCCCTACAGGTGTCTGCCTTGCAGCAGGGGGCAGGGGTGCGGGATGGAGCGGCAGAAGAGGAGGGGACTGCAGAGCTGGGGCCGAAACGCCTGTGGAAGGTGGGTCCCAGGGAGCTGTGTAGCAGGGGCATGTGTTCTTTCAGGTGGCGGGGGGGGGCCCTGTCCTGCCTTCATTCAACAGAGTAACTGCTTGAATTAAATTTGGGGCTTTCTCCAATATTCCCACTTCTCTTTCCTTCTTTCCCCTACCCCATCTGCAAGGAAATCTGTAGATGTTTGTTTTCGTGCCCAGTATACTGCTAGGCACTTCGTATGCGTGTCCACTTGAATTGTGCCATCTACGTTGTGTGGCAGCATCAGGCAAGATTCCTCCTCTCTCTGAGCCTTGTTTCCCTAGTCATGCCCCTTTCTGGGTTACACTAGCAGGTAAAACTAGGAACTGTTGTTTTTCAAGAGATACACAGGAGAGCAAGGGTGTTTGGCCGTTGTCAGGACTGAGCTCCTGGGGCCCAGAGGAAGGAGGTGGACCTGAAGCTGTGCTCTGACACTGGGGCAGAGCGGTGATCTGCTCTGGGCGTCCCTCCTCCTACCTTCCTGGGGCAGGGCAAGGGTGTGGGATGCCCTGGGTCCCCAAGACTGACTGACAGCTCACTGTCCCTGGAGGATGAGGCGGGCCGGGTGGAGGAGCTGCAGGAGCTCCTGGAGAAGCAGAACTTTGAGCTGAGCCAGGCCCGGGAACGACTGGTCACCCTGACAGCAACCGTGGCTGAGCTTGAGGAGGACCTGGGCACGGCCCGCCGGGACCTCATCAAGTCGGAGGAACTGAGCAGCAAGCATCAGCGGGATCTCCGGGAGGTGCGCGAGGGCTGGGCCTGTTCTTGGTGGCCCCATCCTGCTGGGGGCAGGTGTTTGGCACTTGGGAGGGTACGGAGGGAGGGCCAGGCAAGGGCTGGGGAGGGTAAGGCTGAACACTTGTCGAGGTCCAGCGTGGGAGGAGTTGTGGGAGGGGAGGGTCAAGGCCAGAAACTGACAGGGGAGCATAGATCATGCCCCTTTCTGGGTTACACCTGGCCAGATGTTGGTGGGGAGGCACAGGCAGGATAGGAGCAGGGAAAGGCTGATGACCTTCCCTCTTCCCTCTTCTTCCACCTAGGCTCTGGCCCAGAAGGATGACATGGAGGAGCGAATCACCACACTGGAGAAGCGCTATCTGGCTGCTCAGCGCGAGGCCACATCCATCCATGACCTCAATGACAAACTGGAGAATGAGCTGGCCAACAAGGAGTCCCTGCACCGCCAGGTAACTCCTCCAGACGGGGTGGGGGTGGGCATTGTACTTAACCCCAGAGGTCCTCATGAGTGGGCCAGAACCTTCCCTTGGTGGCCTGGGAGCCCCTGGGGTCCTGCAGGTCACCTTTGGAAAGGGGAAGTCAGGCTTTTTGGGCAGCCTTGAACCAAGATTGTCCCTTGCTGCTTCTGACCTGTCATCTGCTCTCTGCTGAGGCTGGGGTGGGGGTGGAGCTTCAGCACTGCCTCTGAATCATCTCACCGCCCCCACATTGCTAGTGCGAGGAGAAGGCCCGACACCTGCAGGAGCTGCTGGAGGTGGCAGAGCAGAAGCTGCAGCAGACGATGCGCAGGGCAGAGACGCTGCCAGAGGTGGAGGCTGAGCTGGCCCAGAGAATTGCAGCCCTCACCAAGGCAAGTGGGCCAGGGGCCTGGGATCTGCCTCTGTCCCATGTCCTGAACTCCTAGGAGCCTGGCAGGGAATGGAGAGGGTGGGAGGCACACTGGGCTGGGAGCCAGAAGACTGCTTCCCGCTGAGTGACTCCAGGAGGCACACCGCCACGTGTCTGTCAGCCAGAGGAGTAATCCCTGCCCTCCTCACCCCAAAGGGATGTGACAATCCCATAAGAAGGGGCATAAAAGTACTTGAAGGAGGAGAAGAGACTATGCAGATGCAAAGTATTGTTACTGTCATTTACACCATTGTGGTTAATACTTTCTTTTGTTTGTGGCTGGAGTGGAGGGATTAGGACTTTCATCTCTGGAAAGATGAAACCTGAGAGGATATAATGTTCTGTCTGTACATCCATGAAGGGGTGGGGGTGGGAGTTTAGGTTAAGCACATCTTTCTTTACCAAATCGAGGCATTCTAGATCTAGGGACCACCCCGATTGCCTGGAGGCTGCAGCTTTTGGATGAATAAAAGGGAATATCGTTTTGCCTAATGGGTAGTTAACTTTATGGAATTCCTGAGAGGTGTGCTGGCTGAAAACATAACGGGTTCTGGAAGAGCTAGGTAAATACATTGACTTAGACATGCGGCGGGTTAATCAAAAGAATTTGGGAGCATTTTCAGTTGGTCAGAGACTTTCAGGGGGCCTAATGTGGCATCACTGTAGCTACCCCTGAACCCATGGACAGAAAGAAGCCAGTGTTCAGTAAGCATCAGGCCCCAGAGTCCCTGAAGGATAGAGGCTGGCCAGGGCGCCAGTGTGGCGGCTCTAGTGCTCTGGGGATGGAACTTGCAGCCTGGCTGTGCCTCAGCAGACCCAGGACCAAGTCTGCTTCTGCCACTGACTGGCTCCGTGACCTGGGAAAGTCACCCCCTCCATAACTGGGCCTCAGTGTCCTAATCTCTGTGATGGTGGAGTTGAAAGAGGTGGTCTCTGAGGTCTGTCCAGCCTCTAGGAATGAAGGGCCGGGTTTAAATTCCAGCAGAGGATGTTATGTGTGGGCTGCTGAGCAGTCAGCTTTGGTATCTCCCAAAAACTGACAGGAAGGGAGGGGCTGAAGTGATTAATATGTTCAAATGAGTCATAGCAGGAGGATTTTAAGGAAGGATTTCCTGACTGTAAGATGTGTAATATTCTAGAATATCTTGTCAGCAGAGACAGTAGGGTCTCCATTTCTGGAGATACGGGCATAGAAAGGGAGACTGCTCCACCTGGGCTACTTTTAACAACAAAGGCTTAACAGCCATGGCTAGGCTAGCGTTTGTTGAGTGCTTATTGTGTTCTAAGTGTTTACAATGGATGATTTCATTTACTCCTGGTAGTGGTACAGTGGGCACAGGTGCTGTCATTATCCACGTTTTATCGTTAAGGAAACTAGGCACATAGAAGTTCAGTAACTTGCCCAAGGTCACGCAGCTGGTAAGAGAGGGAGCCGGGATTTGAACCCAGGCAGTCTGGCATGAGTCCATGCCCTCAAGTGCGGTTGCATCTATCTGGAGGCATAGAGGAGATTTATGGTAGCTTGTGCTTTCAAGTGAGTTTTTTTTCTAGAAGCGTGAGAGGATTGATAATCTCTTGAGCTGCCAGCCCCAGGATGTTTTAAGGCTAGCCTTGAGCAGGGAGGAGGTGGGGGAGACCTGGCAGGGGTCAGGGTGTCTGAGAAGAAAGGCAGTAGGGATGGCAGTTCTGCTCCAAGATGATCGGTGAAGGCTGGGCTTCATGGGTGCCTGAAGCCCTGATCCCCAAGGCCACCCTGGCACCAGGGTGCATGGGATTTGAGGCCTGAGCAGGAGGAACAGGGAGATCTACAGGCTGCACCGACCCACCCCTGCCCCTAGGCTGAAGAACGGCATGGCAACATTGAGGAGCACCTGCGGCAGCTGGAGGGGCAGCTGGAGGAGAAGAACCAGGAGCTGGCAAGGGTGAGGGCACCGGGCTGGGCCCTCAGGCCCCCTCCCTGCCCCCAGGGTAGGCTCCCAGAATGGTCTATGGAAGGGGCACGGAGGAAGGGCCTGGCAGGGGACAGAGCCACAGAGCAAGGGAGGAGGCCCGCAGGTGGGGGAGGAGGTGGTGGTAGGGAGAGCTGGAGAGGGGCTCCCAGAGGACAAGAAGAGGACAGGGGAGGGGGCGCAACCCCAGCGGGAATGGACTGCTCCCGATGAGGGCCGAGGCCCTGGGGTGGCCTGGTGCGAGGCGGGCTAGCTGTGCAGGTGCGCCAGCGGGAGAAGATGAACGAGGACCACAACAAGCGGCTGTCAGACACCGTGGACCGACTGCTTAGCGAGTCGAACGAGCGCCTGCAGCTCCACCTCAAGGAGCGCATGGCGGCCCTGGAGGAGAAGGTGCCCGGAGGGCGGGGTTGGGGCGCCAGAGGTCAGTGGGGGCAGGCCCGGGCCTGGGCGGGGCGCCATGGGGCTGTGGGTCCCCCAGGGAGGGGCGGGCACCCCTGGAGGCTCAGGTGAGGGCTGGGAGAGCAAGGCGGGAGCCTGGGGCCGGCAGGGGTGGGGCCCGACTCACTGCCGCTCTCCCCCAGAACACGCTGATGCAGGAGCTGGAGAGCTCGCAGCGGCAGATCGAGGAGCAGCACCACCACAAGGTACCGCCGCGCGGCCTGGGAGGGCAGGGGTGCGGCGAGCAAAGCTGCTCTGAGCCGCAGCACTGTGCTAGCGTCTGTGTCAGTCCGCGCGCATACGCTCCTTCTTTATTCTTCACTGTAGCCCGTCACGGTAGATGCGTTACTGCCCGCAGGTAAAGAAGAAACTGAGGCCATAAGCATAGGGCATAGGGTGGGCAGCAGACAGGCAGGGCCCAGCGAAGAGCTCAACCCAGGGATTTAGTGGGGCCTCAAACCCTGGTGAGGCGAGAGTCGGTGATTCTGGGAGGAAGGACACCAGGGCCCCGTGCTGCCTGTCCAGCCCAGTTTGCCATGCATTTGTGTGGTGGTGAGGGGTCCGTAGGCCTGTTCCAGTAGAGTCCTTCCGCCACACACCCCTCTCCTGGCCCGGCCCCCTGCCCACCCTTTTGCTCACTTTCCGATCGGACCTCTTCTCTTTTGATGTCATCTGCGGGCCTGGCCTGGGGCCCCGGCTTTGGAGTTTGCTGTGCATTCTCTCCAACTCTGCTGTCCTCTTTGTCCCTCTCTGACTCCCATCCTTTCCTGTCTGCCCCTCCCTGGCCCCCCCACCCCCCACCCCGGGTCCGCCTGGCACAGGGCCGCCTGTCTGAAGAGATTGAGAAGCTGCGCCAAGAGGTGGACCAGCTGAAGGGCCGAGGGGGGCCGCTTGCGGACGGCACCCACGCCAGGTACTGGCACGCGGGAGGTCGGGCGTGCTGGCCGGGTTCCTGGAAGGACCCTGAGGAAGGAGACTTCCCCCACCAAAGACCGCCTGGGACCTCAGGGTCCTCCTCCTATTCAGGGTGGGACACTGAGGCTTGGAAGACTTGATCAAAGTACCCCGTCCCTTGGGCAGTTTGGAAGGGAGCACCTGTCCTCTGAGGGCTGCTGAGAGGCAGGTTATGAGATGGTGCTCCTTCCCACCGCTGTGGGACACAGCCTGGGCTTCCTGCTTCCTTGACAGAGGCATGCCCTTGGCAGGGGCCTGCTGAGTTCCATGCTTGCCGTGTCCCACGAGGCCCACTGGTAGAGAGTGGGCTCACTCTTGTTCTCTTGAGAGTCTAGGGCCGCCTAAGTCCAGGCAGCTGGCAGAAAGGCAGCAGGAGAGATTGGAATGAGGCATCCAAAACTTCCTTACTGGAAGTTGAGATGCCATATCACTCGTGGGGTTGTGGCATCCCTTTTCCCGAAAACATTTTAAGAGATGGTGAGTGCAGCTTACCTCTCAAGGCTTGAATTAGGCCCATGTCTCAGGGAACCTCTGGATTTTTCTCCCTATTTTGTGAAGCAGTTGGCATTGAACTCAGACGTCAAGCCTGTCCTCAGTTCTCAGGCCAGAGAGGTGGGGCGAAGATCAAGGAGGCTGAAGTGGATGATGCCACTTGGGGTTTATGGCTTCCAGCTGTTTTCTCTCTAAACCTAAGTCTGTTAGATCAGAGCCCCTGCAGTTCCCTTTGGTCATGCTCTTGCTGTGTCAGGGAAACGGGGATCAGCTGCCACGAGGAAGAAAGGTTGGAGGAAATATGCATATGTACGTGTGGAGAGGTAGTGCTTGAATTAGGGAAAGCGACATTGAGCTTGAAGAGGAGAAGCCTGCAGGTGTCTGGGGTGGTAGAGACTTCAGTGCCGACCACTCAGTTCAAGTTTGTCAGGAATTATTGTACAGGAGTGTGAAGAGAAGCAGAAAATGGAGACAGATACGGTCTGTGTCCTACTTTTCCTTTTATGTAGGTTGACCCTAAGGGACAACCCCTCATTTAGTAAGACACGGCCCGGGCAGAGTACACCAAGCCATTTGCCACAATTCGCTTTCCTTAATGGTTGGGAATTCTTGGCTTTGACTGTAGAATCATTGGACCCATCATGGAACTGGGGCTGAGGTGCAGGGGGTGGGGTCGGGGTGGGGGGTGGGAGAGGCAGGAACTGCCCTCTGTATCCAGCTCTCTCGTGTAGGCTGTTCCTTTGTTCTGGGCTCCCTCACGGGTTCCAAGCTGGGAAGGCATGGAGAAGAAGTGTCGTTAGGGGAGGCTTCTAGATGCTCCAAATGATTGTTGCTGGGAACCCCAAATCTCAGGGTTTCAGTAGACTCTTGGGGCAGTCAGAATGGTTTCTCTAGCCTATGTCTCTGATGCCGTGTTAGAGCCTACTAAGCCTTCCTGGGGATGGGGGTATGCCTGGGTTGAATTTTAGCCAGGGACTCAGTCCGGATTATGGGGAGACCCAAGGAAAGGTGCCAGGGAGAAGACCAAGAAACCCTCAGAGTGAAAAGGACCTTTAGACATCATCCCTTCCAACCTCTCCTAATGCCTGGAGCCCTCCTGCACCATTCTTGTCGGATGGCCAGAGAGCCGCCGCGTGAATACCTCTGTGATGAGGGGCTCAACTTTTTAAAAGCCACCAGTTGCATCATAAGCCAACTCTTGCCATTAGACGATCCTTCCTAAATGGAAAGCTGCACCCTAGAACTTTCTCCTCTGGCTCATTCTGACCCTGGAGCACCAGAGAATGAGTCTAGTCTCTTGTGTCCTCTCTAGCTCTGTGTCCTGCTAAGACTTCTCCGAACCGAAGATCCCTTGACTCTTTGGGCCCAGTGGGTGTGAGCTGGGGCTCTCAGTCCTCAGGGCCTATCTTTTCTCTCCCTCTGTGGGTCACTGCTCAAGGTCACACATGGGCAGTGCAGCGGACGTGCGGTTCTCCCTGAGCACAGCCACCCACGCACCCCCAGGTCTGCATCGCCGCTACTCGGCACTGAGGGAAGAGCCTTCCAAGGTGAGAGGTGGAGCGGTGAGTGTGGAGGGACCTCCTCGGGGCATTTGGGGTCAGTTCAGCCGCGTGCCTGGCTCCAGTTACACAGACGGCTGGTGTGCAGGGCAAATCCTTCCCCCGTCCTCCCCCATGTCACTGACAGCTGCAGCCCTGGGGTTGGGGCCATTGTCAGCTGCAACAGCTGGGCCCCCCCTTGCCTCGGCCTCCCGGTGGGCAGGAGCTGGGGGCTGGCGGGTGGCCAGCCAGTCCCTGGGGCCCCACTGAAGTGTGTGTGCGTGTGCCTGGGCGTGCAGGCGTGTGTTTCTGGTGGTCAGGGTGGGGGCCGCGGGGGTAAGATGGAATTGGCAAGCTTTCTGGAACAAAAGCTGGTTCATGGGAGAGATGAGGGAGGGACAACAGGTTAACCGGCCCTTGGGATGGCGCCGGGAGTTTTCTGAGAAGCAGCTGTAAGTTCATTCTGTCTGAGTCTGCTTAGGGAGATTAGGGGGAATGGGGGAAGATATGGAGGAGGAAAGCGCTGACTTCCATCTTTAGGGGAAGTCTGGTCCCATAATTGTTAATCATGTTCTGTCCTGAGCCCGGGTCCTCTAAATGCTCTGGGGCATTAGCAGATATAGTGGAGAAAGAGGGAACTCCTAGTCCCAGGGGAAGATTCATCTCTACAGTTAAGAAACCCCTAGTCTGATGGGGGAGTCACAGTCTGAAGGCACCACTTTTTTTGTCTGCCCTCACTCCTTTACTCTTTCTGTCTATGAGAACATGGCAGCTGCCCTGGAGCTCAGACTAAAGGCTGCAGAAGCTAGAAGAGCCCTAGGGGCAGTCAGGGGGCTTTGGTCATAGAGGATGGCGTTAGAGTGCCTCTTTGTCCCTGGTCCCTTTCCTTTCTTCCCTGCTCTACTGGCTCTGCTGGCCCAGTTCTCTGCCCTTTCATCTTCTGGGCCTTTGTGCACTGAAGAGGTTTGTAGGACGATGTCTGAGAAGCTGCTGCCTCTCAGGGTTGACCAGAGCGTCCTGCGACGTGCTCAAACTCTAGGAGTCAGGCCTGCCTGGCCTTTTCTTGTTCCCTGGATCTAGTTGCCCTTTGTGAATTTGTCTGAATAAAAACTGAGGGCTTTTATATAGTGCTTACTTTGTGCCAGACACTGTGCTAAGGGCTTCACGTGCATTTCCTCATTTAATCCTCACAACTGCCTGTGAGATACCATTATTACCCTCGTTTTACCAATGAAGACGGTAGAACAACTTTTCCACGCTGCACAGCCAGCGTTTGGTGGTGCCGAGATTTAAGCTAAGGCAGTCTCTCTTTGGAATCTGTTCTTAAACCACTCTGCTAGCTAGTTTTTAAAGTAGTTAGAGCAATATTTCTTAGACTTTAATGTGCAAAGAAATCACCCAGGGATCTTGTTAAAATGCAGATTTTGGATCAGTAGGTCTGGAAGCGTGGCCTGAGCGTCTGCCTTTCTAACAAGCTCCCAGGCGATGCCAATGCTGCCGGGGAGAGGTGGGGAGTGTCCTGTTTTGCTGTTATCTGGGGTGTCCTTTTATTACTCCTTCACTCTCCTTCTTTGCTAAGGACTGGGAGCCGTCTCCACTGCCTGGGGTGCTGGCCTCCACGGCTGCGCCTGCCTTTGACAGTGACCCTGAGATCTCTGACGTGGATGAGGATGAGCCAGGGGGTCTGGTGGACTCCATGGATGTTGTCTCTCCCAGCGGCCACTCAGATGCCCAGACCCTGGCCATGATGCTGCAGGAGCAGCTGGATGCCATCAACGAGGAAATCAGGTTAGCACGGGGTGGAAGGCCTGGGAAAAGCCTTGAAGGCAGGGGCCCCTTTGTGTTTGGGCACTGCAGGAAATCCTGCACGTATTTGCTCATCTCCCATAGCTCCACCTTAGAGTGCCACGATCTAGGGACCCTCTGTGGGGCATCCACAAGGTTTGGGTCCAGTGCTGGACCGAGAGGGGCAGGGCCCCAAAGGGACTTGTCAGGCTTCATCTCTCCTCTCGGGGCTGGTGATGTGACCGGACTTGGGAGGATGGAGGCTGAGTTCCTGCCGCTCCTGCAGCCAATCATAGCCACCAAGAGTTTGGCTCCCACTTACTGAGGCCGGCTCAGGCAAGAGCTTTACAAATGCGACTGTCAGTCTTAGCACAGTCCTGGAGGTAGGCAGCACGATCCCTGTTTTACAGACAAAGGAAAAGAAACTCAGAGAGGGTAAATAACCTGCTGAAAGCCATACAGTAAGTGGAAGAGCCAGCGTTCAAACTGGAGTCTAAATTTGGTCCTCTGTGCTAGGCCTCCTGTCTATAGTGAGGCATCAAATAGAAACGGTGGCAGGGAAAGTTGGGAAAAACCTTCACTTTATCCTGCCTTTTTAATGAGTTTATTAATGTTAATGATAAACCACAAGGGGAAATCTGAGCCAGATTTTATTTGAGCTTTATGAGCTGTAGAGGTCATCTAGTTTAATGGTTCCCAGACTTTTGGATTTCACAGACTGGTTACAAAGACACACACTCACACACACACACACACACACACACAGAAGGGTACTAACATAGGATCACCAACTTTTTGTTTTGCAAAGTAAGACATTAAAGATAACTACCATTTACTTTCATAATCATAGGAAAGACCATTTTAATGTCCCTAAAGTGGGAAAGACATACTCTCAGAATAAAGAATAAAGACAAGTTCTTTCTTTTTGAAAGAGGGTTGGCACCTACATCGGCATGTGTGCGTGTAAGTGTGACACACACACCCCTCGCTGAGGGCCTCCCATGCACGCACATCCCATTATCATTATTTCTCCCATTTTTCCACGGAACAAGGAAAACCCATTGGGGATCAGCATCGGTTGAAAGTTCCTATTTGGGAGCTACTGGCTTCAACTGCTCCAGACATTGTGTATGTTGGGAACAGAGGCACAGAGAGCACCATGCTTGACTCAAGGTCACCCTTGTAGTTAGTGGTAGGACAGAAGTCTGACTTCCAGGATGGTTTGTGTTCCACTGACCAAATTGCCTCCTTCCCCCGCAACTGCTTTTGATAAACTGGGGGTGGTAGGCCAGCTAACAAGACAGACATGTTTCTCAGCTCCAGTGGGATAAAACCTGGCGTGCCTGCTAGAACGTGTCCATCCCGGCAATGCCAAAAGGGATGGGCGTTGCCTTCTGTGTGTGGTCACAGGATGGTGACTGTGGGCATCACCGAGCTCTGCTTCCTGCTGGTCCTTGCTGGGGCTAATGGGGAGGTCTGGTTCTGCCCACCTTCCAGGATGATTCAGGAAGAGAAGGAGTCCACGGAGCTCCGCGCTGAGGAGATTGAGACGCGTGTGACCAGCGGCAGCATGGAGGCCCTAAACCTGACACAGCTGCGCAAGCGCAGTTCCATCCCCACCTCTCTGACCGCTCTGTCGCTGGCCAGTGCGTCCCCCCCACTCAGCGGCCGCTCCACACCTAAGCTTACCTCCCGCAGCGCTGCCCAGGACCTGGACCGAATGGGGGTCATGACCCTGGTGAGAGGCAACTGCCATCATTGGGCTCGGCACTGGGGGAGGTTACAAGGGACAGTAGCTCCTCTTCTTTCAGCGGGGCCTGGCATCGTCTTCCCATGGTGTGTGCAGACCCCAACATGTCAGGCCACCAGCCTGTCCTGGGATTGGAAAGGCCCCGTGTAGTGCCTTCCTTTTCCTCTGGATAAGCCCAGAATGCTTAAGAAACTCCCCCCTGCCCACACCCCTTCCTCTCTTCCAGAGGGAGCCCTGGCTTGTTTTCCAGGCCAGGCTTTTTTCTGATGTGATGTTCTCTCCAGGCCTGTGTGAGCCACTGAATCCTATCTTCTCATCCTAAGACCACTGGGCTCCCCTTGGGGTTGGCTTTAGGGCCTCCAGATGGTGAGTCCAGCTCACCCTTCACTCTCTCTTCCAGCCCAGTGACTTAAGAAAGCATAGGAGGAAGCTGCTGGTGAGTGCTGCCTGATGTCCAGGTCCTAACGGGTTCATTGCTCCCAGGCCCTTCCCTTCTGGCTTCTCCCCCCAGGCCCTTGAGTCTGAGTCTGAACTCAGAGAGGCGCCCAGGGCCTTCCCACTGCGTTTCTCCACGCTCCTCTGCCTCTTCTGGGCTGGGTAGGCAGGCCCCACATCTCTCCCTCTACCCTCTGACGGCTCCACTGTCTGTTCAGTCGCCAGTGTCTCGGGAAGAGAACCGAGAGGATAAAGCCACCATAAAATGTGAGACTTCTCCTCCTTCCTCACCCAGGACGCTGCGGCTAGAGAAGCTTGGCCATCCAGCCCTGAGCCAGGAAGAAGGCAAGAGGTAAGAGAGACCTCTAGTCTCTCCATCCCAAAGTCATCTCATCCCTCCTTCTGCCTCTGCGGGGACTGCATCTTGCCTGTCCCAGGCACCTGAATGTCTCACTTCTCTTTGAAACACCATTCAGGAAGAATGTTCCAATGTTTCCCTTAGTCACCTGCTCTGATCACACCCCCTCGCCCTCACCCCAATTCTGACACTTCCTGAGGTCTAACCTCCATCTCTCCTGCTGTAACTTAAGCATATTTCTTCTTATTCCACCTGCTCCTGGCTGTCATCCTGTAGTGCCTTGGAGGATCAGGGCAGCAACCCCAGCAGCAGCAACAGCAGCCAGGACTCCTTGCACAAGGGTGCCAAGCGCAAGGGCATCAAGTCGTCCATTGGCCGCCTGTTTGGGAAGAAGGAGAAGGGCAGGCTGATCCAGCCGAGTCGGGATGGAGCCACGGGCCATGGTCTCTGTCCCCTTCCACGCAGAGGTCTGGGCGGGCCTAGGGGTGCCAGAAGCAGGAGGGTGTACTCGGACCCGGCCTTCCGTGCTTGCCTCTCGGGGACCAACGGGTGGAAGCCACAGGCAGGCAGAGCTCAGCTCTGGAGAGGCAGTTTTCCGTGAGAGCTAGTTCATGGTGGGTGGACTGCCTCGTCAAGTGGTAAGCTCCTGCCACTAGGGGCGTCAGGCAGCGGCTGGATGGCCATGTATTTGTCATGCTGTGGGATGGTTTCCTGTGTCGAGGGGAAGATTGGGCCTCTGAAGTTTCTCTCAGGGTGGAGGCATTCTGGTGTACTGTGCTAGCATCTTCGGGAGATTCTCAGTTCTTTCTTTAGAAGAGTCGGGTCTTGATTGGAGCTCATTTCTAGTACATCTGGCCTCCAGGACTCAAAATATTATTATAACACCTAATTCTACCTTTGTAGATGTTGAATTCAAGGACGTACTTGGGCAAGGACAGCATCATTATGACGTCTGTGATAATACAAAGTTCTAGTATGTGCGTGGCATGTGGTGGGCACACAATAAATGGTAGCCTTCTTTGTTCCCCCTTATCTCTTTCTTTTTTCCTTTCTTCCTTCCCCTCCCTTCTCCTTTTCTTTCTGTCATCTATTTAGTTATTTGCTCCACACACATTTATTGAGTAACTACTGTATGGCTTAGTAACGGGTGTTTGAGTGATAGTTCATTCCTTAAAGGAGCTCAGTGTGTAACGAAAAGGGAAAAATAAAGAGATGATTCTAAAACAATCCCATGGGAGCAATATGCCCAGCGTGCTTCTGAAACTCAGACCTTGGCCAAGGAGTGGCAGGGACAATAGGAATGGCTTCCTCTAGGAGCAACGCCTGAGCTGAGGCTTGAAGGCCGGATAGGAATTAGCCAAGCCGAGGAGGGGTCTGTGCAAGGGGAAGAGGGTGGCCTGGGAGAGGGAGAGATTTGTGGGTGTGAGAGCTTTGTTTGCACTTAGGTGTGTTCAAAGTGGAGAAGAAAGGGTGGGAGGAGTGGGAGATGGGGTTGGACAGCCAGGCTGGGGCCAGCTCGGGAGGGCCTCGCAGCATCTGTTGAAGAGGTTCGGAAGTCCCCCGAACAACGCAAGTGGGAGCATTGATGCATTTCATGCAGGGGAAGAACTTGATCAACTAGAAGAGAGGAACCTTTGAACCCAAAATGCATAATTATAGTTTTCTGCACCTCAGGAAGACGTGAATCAGAACATAGCTAGCTGAGTGAGGAGGAGGAAGAGGAGGAAGAGAAAAGGCAGGGAGGGGAGGGGCCCTGGAATGAGGTAGAGCACCCTCCTCCCCAGTCCACAGGGGCGAGGGGAGCTGCGGAGCAGCCACAGACGGGGAAGCTGCAAGGTCCAGTCGGGGGACAGGTGTTTTGTGTGAAGCCTTATGATTTCCTGTGTTCCCCACACCACACTGGCACATAGACCTAAGACAGCGGCTCAGACTGGCTTCTGGGTTACCCACACCTCCTGCCCACCGTGCACTGTGGGCAGTGACTGGGACTTAAATGAATTCTAAGCTTCTGCCCCTTGCCATGAATTCTGTAGGGTTCTGGCATCAATTCGAGGAGATCCTTAGAAGAAGACAGAACGGTGCATATTCCCCTTTGCAGTTTGTGCTCATGAGCGCACCCAGGGAAGGAGGCCGAGAGAGACATCTCTCAATGTGCCAGTTTTGCCACCCCTGACCCCAGTCAGGATGATCCTTCTCTCTCAGCCTTGTAGCCCGCTCATGTCTGGCTGTCTGGGGTTTCTTTGTACCTTGGCTTGGAGGCAAAACAGGTTCTGTCTAGGAGTCTAGGGTAGGACAACTTTGGTCCCTCTGGCTGGAAAACACCTCCAGGGCTGAGGCTCCCAGGGGGACTCTCTGGACGGGGGATGACATACTTGGTGCCACTCTGGGACTACCTGGATGCAGGGACGTTGAGCAGAGGCTCCAGGAATAGTGAGTGGCCCCCTCAGGCGCTCCTGGGTTGTCCTGTGCTGAGGAGCCTCCGCTGCTGCTTCTGCCTGCCCCTGGTCTAGGCCAAGGGAGGAGAAGCGGAGGGCCCGGCTGACACATCCATCTCTTCCCTTCCAGTTATGCTAACAGACTCCGAGCCCAGTCTGCAGGAGCCCATGGTGCCTGCCAAGCTGGGGACCCAGGCAGAGAAGGACCGGCGGTTGAAGAAGAAGTAAGAGCCACAGGCCATGCTCTGCCCAGGGGGTGCCCAGCGCCCCCACCCATTTTCCCTCCCCTGGGCTGCCATGGGCTGAGCTCAGGGAGCCAGAGCCCAGCAAGGCCTTTCCTGAACTGAGTTGGCCTGGCCCATATGGGCAGAGTAGGGTTGGGGGCAGCTCTTACGGTGTTCCTAGAGAGAAGGAGGCAAGAGGGCTGTGGGAGAGTGGCCTGGGGGCTGCGGATCTCTGGCAGGGCACATCGGAATGGCTAAGTCAGTGTGTTAGGTCGTGCGCAAACACAGTAAGAGCCCCTTGCCTTCTGGGGACGGAGAGGTGTTCCTGCACCATTTCTTAGTGTCACATTGCTTCAGGCATAGAGCAGAGGAAGTCCAAGGATGGGTAGCAGGGGTAGTAGGACTCCAGTGCTTGGCATGGCCCAGTGGTCCCCAGGAGCAAGCGTGGTTGAGAGGGAAGGAAGGGCTAGTGACTCTGTCGCTCCTCTTCCTACAAGACACCAGCTGCTTGAAGATGCCCGCAGAAAAGGAATGCCCTTTGCCCAGTGGGATGGCCCTACTGTGGTCTCCTGGCTGGAGGTGAGCCTGGGCAAGGGGAGGACACTCAGGGGTCTGGAGGGAAGGATGTGTGGCGTGGGCCCAGGAGGTGGTGTTCCTAGAACTTTCCCAGCATGTTTCTCCCCTGCCAAGTGCCATGTTCCATATGGCATTTAGCCCCTCTCCCCCTCCCCCAAGAAACACACATACCAGTTGCTCGAGGACAGATTGATGCTGCTTACTGATGCTTCATGGGTAGCTAAGTTTGGATAAGGGGAACTAACCACCGATGCTTTAGTCTTTCACAGGCAGTTTGACTCTTTCATAGGCTGCCCGCACGAGCTAATCACCTATGCGATGCTGGGAAAATCCCTTTACCTTCCCTCAGATTTTTAATCTGTAAAACAAGAAAGAGAGGGATTTGATGATGTTTATCTCTGCGCTCCTGTGTGCTGCATTTGCTGTACCGAGTCCACAGACGAGGGCTGGCCCTTGCCCCTTGGTATTGCCAAGTTCTTGGCAGTGGGGCCCAGGTCCCAAGAGAAGGGGCTGAATTACCCTCCTGTGTGTGTACCCACCCGTGTCTGCAGCTCTGGGTGGGGATGCCTGCCTGGTACGTGGCAGCCTGCCGGGCCAACGTCAAGAGTGGTGCCATCATGTCTGCCCTGTCGGACACAGAGATCCAGCGGGAAATTGGCATCAGCAATGCCCTGCACCGGCTCAAGCTCCGGCTGGCCATCCAGGAGATGGTGTCGCTGACTAGCCCCTCCGCCCCGCCCACCTCCAGGACTGTGAGTGGCCTCTCCCTCCCCCAGGACATTTTCGGAGGCCTTGGGATAGTGTTTGCAAAGTCTCCTGTTGGGCTTTGGGAAGATGGTAACCTTGAGCCCTGCCCCTTCCTTCCCATCCTCACAAAGGGCTCTCTTTGGTCTTCGGGAGGGTGTCATGTTGATTCCAGGAGGATCCCAGCAGGCCTGGTTGCCTGCCTCCCACATACCACCCGTGGGCTCCATTTCCCCGTCTCTATCCTGCCAATAATTCCAGATCTCTGGGCAGAGTTTCTAGGACGGACCTTCTGGGGTTTTGTATTATTACCAGGTTGGGGGAAACAGAGGGAGCAGGGCAATTGTGAATTCTGGCCCTCTAACCTCAACACAAGAAAGAATGCAGACTGCTCCATTGACCCTCAGGGTAAAATCTTTTGTTATTGTCCATCTCTGTGACTGGAGTCAGCCCACATTCTGGATCAGCATCATTCGTTCATATTCATCCAGGAAACCTTTACTGAGCACTTTCTGTGTGCTGTGCACTGTGCTAAGCAGTGTGGATGTGATGATAAAGGAGACGCATCTTCTGCTATCAAGTTGCTCAGAGCTAGAAAGCGTGCAGAGCTCTGGGCTGGGCCTGTAGGAGGACTCAGGGGGAGGGAGTTTTGTCCTTGTCCTTGGGGTTCCTGGCCTAGTGGGGATCCTGGGACCCACACCCAGAACCAGCTAGGTTTTCTCTCTGCCTGCAGTCTTCTGGGAACGTCTGGGTCACCCACGAAGAGATGGAAACTCTGGCAACATCTACTAAAACAGTGAGTCTGGCCCTTGGCCCTGGGCCTGGGTTTAGGACTAATGACTGCCCTGAGGTTGAGGGGAAGGTTGTGGGAAGTCAGAGGGGGTTGCAGGAGATCTAACAGAAGATTGATATCCCTGATGTGTGATCAGGTTCTGTTCTCAGGGTGGAGGGTTGTGGGGAGAGGGGTGAGATTGGGAGCACTTGGTGTGTGTGGGGGCTATTCCAGAGGGTCACAGCTTACCCTAGGCCACTGGTGTGCTGCAGGGGAGGAGGGGTGGGCTGGGAGGGCTTTGTCCTGGCTCTGGGCCTGAGCCAGCGTCCCTGCCCTTGTGTTCGATCCTTGGTGGAGGAACAGGGAGGGTTGGGACAGCCTGGCGTTTCTCCTGGCTCCCTCTCCAGCCCGGGAGGCACGGAAGTGTGTTTGTGCCACACACACACTTGCCCCACTCTCACCGCGAACATGGGTGCACACCTCCGCCTTCTGTTCTCTCTTAACCATCCCAGCGAGCTCGCCCTAGTCACCCACCCAGATGCCGGCGCAGCTTTTCCCTCTCCTTGATGGGGCTTGGGGTGGAGGCCGCCAGGTTTCTTGACTTTGCCTGTTTCCCCTGACACGCTGCCTCGTTCCTGCTAGGACAGTGAGGAGGGCAGCTGGGCTCAGGTAAGCCTCCCTGCCCGGGTCAGAACCGACTCCCAGACGTTCAGGACAGTGTTCTTCTAATAGGTTCTCTCCCCGGCAGGACTTTCTCCGTCCGGTTGTGTTTCAGCCCCTCGTCCCGCTGAGAGCCCCGGACTCAGGTTCCCTTCTCCTGCCAACACACCCCCACTCCAGTTCCTTTAGCTACTTGTTCTGGTTTCTCAGGGTGGCAGGTGAGGAGCCCCGAAGGGCTGTGCCCCTGCATTCCTGGTCCTTCTCCTCGGTTTGACTCTTTTCCCGGAAATAATGAGACTTGTATTAGTATGATCTTCTTCCTCTCCCTGTCCCTTTCAGGAGGTACCCCTGGTGAACTGAGCAAAGGACTTTCATTCATTCGTTTAATGAGCAAATATTTATTGAGCAAATATAGGTATTAGGCCTTTCTAGGCTCTCTAGATACAGAAGCAAACAAATAAAGTCCTCATGGATCAGGAAACAAAGGGATAATATCAATAAATAAGCCATATCAATAGAGATAAAAAAGACAATCTCAATAAATAAACCAATAAAGAGGCCATAGCAGGTGGTGATGGGAGTGGAGAAGAAGACAGAAGCACGGGCAGCAGCGTTTATGCTGACAGGGAGACCCCGTCGACAGGGACGGGATGAGTCGGTTGCTGCACCTTCACCCGGGGAAACCCTGCTCGGCACAGGAGGTGGAGAGACCCGAGACGTATAAGTTAAATGAAAAACGCAAATTCTAAAAGATTCATGGATGCCATAACTCAAAACCAAGCAAAACAAAATTAATAATATATGGTTTAGAGAAACATACGTTGGTGATCGTAAAAACTGTAAAGCAATTTTTTAAAACCAAAGGAATAATAGAAAACTCAGCACCGTGGTTACCTCTTAGGGGGGCAGCAGGAGACCCGAAGGGGAGGAAGAGCAGCAGGCGGGGGGTAACTGTGGATAATGCTCTGCTGCTTAACTTAGGCGGCGTTGTCAGGTGCTGGCTGCATTTTTATTGGTCATAATGAACACGTGTTATATGTAGTTACGTGTGTAACAATGATTACATTCTGAAAGGTAACAAAATAGCCGATGGTGGCTCAGGCCTATCATCCCAGCTACTTGGGAGGCCAAGGCAGGAGGCTTGAGACTCGAGGCCAGCCTGGGCAACATAGCAAGACCTTGTCTTTTAAGAAAAAAAAAAGATAACAAGAGACTTTTCAATCTAAAAACATCAAATGGGGCAAGGAAAGCGTGATGAAGGGTCACTGGCAAAACTACAGCTTTCTAAGGATGGGTGCGCAGGGAGCACCCTACTCACGCCAGGAGGCCATGTGCGAGTGGCAGGCAGAGCGGGGCCAGGCAGAGCGGGTATGTGGGCAAGCAACAGAGGACCTGGAGAATTTGTGCAGCAGAGAACCAGGCCTTGGGGAACTGAGTGCTGGTTATTCAGACACAGGCCACTCGCCCTTTACTTTTTTCCGTCTCCAGCCAACACTTAACTTCCTATGGACTGTGTCATGCCAGCCGTTTTTCAGAGCAGGGCTTCCCTTGCCACACTGCAGGTCCTCTGTGACAGCCTCTCTCCCGGGCTCAGCGGGCCTGAGACTGTTTGAGAATCAGGAAGGCAAGTCCGCAGATGCATTCCAGAGTCCACAGGAAGGATTCCTGTTATCTCCTGTCTGGAGAGTTGCCTCTGTTCATTAGCCTAGATAATTGATATGGGAGTGGAACCGTATCATTTAGAGATCTTAAAAGTTCCATTTAAAATCCCCACCCCCACCAGGACCAGTCTCTTAGTGAAGATAAACTGAAATCTTACTGAACTGCCCTTCTTCCCTCCTGGGTGGAGGACAGATTCATGTTTCTCCCAACCAGATGTGCCAGCTGCAACCTGCTGGCTCTGCCTTCCTCCCCCATGGCCTCCTTCCCCTTGTTCCCGCAGACCCTGGCCTACGGGGACATGAACCACGAGTGGATCGGGAACGAGTGGCTGCCCAGCCTGGGGCTGCCCCAGTACCGCAGCTACTTCATGGAGTGCCTGGTGGACGCGCGCATGCTGGACCACCTCACCAAGAAGGACCTGCGCGTCCACCTGAAGATGGTGGACAGCTTCCACCGGTGAGTGAGGCTGGCGCCCAGGGCCACCTCCCCAACATGGGTCTCCCCCAACTCTGGGGGCCTGTCCCCAGCAATGGAGATGCTCCATCTCTTTCCATGGCCTGTTCTGGGTGGTGACAAGTCTCCCTGTTGGGCAAATCTCCCTGTTGAATCCTTGTCTTATCCTACAATTTCAAGGTTTGATCCTTTTACCTCTAACCCTAAGACACAAAATGTCATTTTTCTTTAGCTTCACCTTCTTTGAGATTTTCCCCCAGGTTTGAATTTCATTGCTTGTCCTTGGGCTTGCTGAGTCCTCTGTGTTTACCCTGTGAAGACTCAAACTGAGCCCAGCGTTTAATTTAGGAGTCTCATTCCTTCCGAGTCAAGGGGAAAGGTCTTTCTGGGCCTTTGCCCTGCCAACATCCCAGATTGGCACCTCTTGGCTTTGAACTCACATCCTTTTTTAGGGGATGTCATCCAGTCCTCTCCTCTTTGCTGAAAAGATCTTCCGTTCAAAAGTGTCTGCGGCAGAGGTCCCAAACTGGCAGCCCGTGGGCAGAATTTGGTCCACAGATGTATTTTGTTTGGCCCACATGCATTTTAAAAATTACAAATTTAGTTGCCAGTATTTAAACAGTAGGAGATTTTATACAAAATTCTGGAGTTCTGGTTCCTCTTGGAAAATGGAAAGCTCTGTCAACACATTCGTGCATGGGGACAGTGGCAGAAGGTGGACAGCAGTGCCCTCTTAGGCGGGTGGGCCTGCCCCAGGGCCTCCGGCCCCCTCGCTGCCTCCCTCACTTGCCTCACCTGCCTGGTCTCGGTGGGCGTTTGTGTCGGGAGCGCCGTGGGTGGGAACCGTTCCTGCAGTTGACGGTTTTTAGGAAGTCCTTGTTAACGTCCAGCTTCAAGTGGCACAGGTGGCTCTTTGAGCCAGGTCTTTTGCTTTGTGTGGATAATGAGACCTGGGTGGGGCTGGGGGTGTGGCTTTTCAAGGTTCCCTCAGGGCTTCGTGGCTGTTGCTTGAAAGTTAAATCTGGAAGGGATCTAGTTAACCTCCCATTTTATGCATGAGGAAATTGAGGCCTCAGAAGGAACAGTAGCCCGGTGTCACTTGACCGGTGTCTACTGACTCAAGTCCTGCGCTCTTGCCACCACACTGCAGCGCCTCCTGTCCTGGAACCCTCAGCCTTCCCGCCCCCAGCGTGTGGGCTACTTGTGAGGGAAGGTTATGTCCTCCCCTCTGCTCCCCGCTCCCACAGTCCCCTGGGGCTAAAAGGGAATCTTTTGTCTCTGCCGGGGAGGCTGCCAGGCCCAGCTGCACCTGTCCCCGCTCAGTGATTGATGGGGCTGCGAGGGCAGAGCTGTTCCCCGCCAAGCTGGGATGTGCCTGGGCTGCTGGAGGGTCTGGCAGGCTGGCCCCGCCCAGCACCGTGGAAATCTGCCCTGCCACCCCCTGCCCAGTCGCAGAAACGGCCCCAGCCCGCACACGCGGTTCTAGATTCGGTTCAGCATCTCGAGTACTTAGGAGTTGCTAAAGCATTTCATGCGCCTCACCTCAGCTATGGATATGCCTGCGCTTACGCCACTCGACGTTTCACAAGCATGTTCTTATGCCTAAAAATTCTTTCAAATCGTGATTTTTACGGCAAGAAAGGGATCTGTAAAAACTCTTATTTTACATGTAGAGAAAGCAAGCCCAATAGAGGTCGAGTTCCATCAGGTCACTCAGCCTGGTTATAGGAAGGGGCTCAAACCCTGTCTCTTGACACCCAACTCAGAGCTCTTTTCCTGGGAACACAGTCTCCTTAGGAGCTCCCGTTTTGATAGGACAGCACACGCAATAATCAGAAACACCCACTCATGGTGGCTCCGTTGCTGAGTGCCTGTGGTTGTCCAGGGCTGGGCCAAGCCCTCGCGTTCATTCTCACCTGCAGGGGCGGTGTGATGCCGTCGCACGTGCTGAGGGCCCTCAGCTAGCAAGTGGCAGAGCTGCTTAAACCCAGCTAAACCTAACTTTAAGGGCCTTATACTTTTGCTATGCTGTGCAACAGCTTTGAAAGTCATGGGACTGGACAGAAGATCACAGTAAGTGAGACTGAAATTAGACAGAAGGCATTTCCAGCCATGAGCTGTGTGTGCTACGCCCCTCTCGGTGGACCGCGGTTTACACCGGTGGCTTGAGCAATAGGTGGGTGGCTGGAGCCAGGAAAGGGTTCCTAGACAGGTGTCTCTGACCTATGAGGGAGACACTGTTTTTGGCAGAAGGGCTTCCTGGATAAAACTGAGGGCAAAGAAGGAGGGGACAGTATATACAATTTAATATCACAAAACAGTGGCCTAAATAATAGAGTCAAAGCAGTTAGAGATGGGAGGGGCCTTCTATTCCTCCATAGATGGAAAAACCCAGAAAGGCTGAATGACAAAGTAGTATTCAAGTTAAGGAAGAACACTACAATTTTTCCAAGAAAGAATGAGCTACTTTGAAAGGTAATAAGTTCCCTGTCACTGGAGGTATTCAGGCACAGGGTCAGTGACTGCTCTGAAGGATGATGTAGAAGTGACTCCTGTATTAGGTGGGAGCTTGGAAATGGCCTCCACTGGGTCCCTTTAAACCCACAGAATCTGTGGTTCTCAGACTGGCTTAGTTATTGAGTGCTTACTATGCCCCTGGTACCATTTTAAGTGCTTTTAGTAGTTTACATGAAGTATTTCATTTAATTCATCGAGCATTCATAGAGTCCCTACTATGTGCTGGGGGTTTAAGATCAGTAAACACAACAAAGTTCCCTGCCTTCATGAGCTTACATTCTAACCGGAAGGGGCCATCAAGGAACAATGAATATTTGATATGTTAATATATGAAATGTGCTAGGAAAAAAATTAGACCAGGGTAAGGGGGCTTGGGAGTGTGGCCAGGGGTGGTGACGTGGTATTGCCGTTTTCAATCTGAAGAACAAGGTGACTAGTGAATTTGATGGAGAAGGTGACATTTCTGCAAAGACTTAAGGGAGACGAGGGAGTGAGCTATGCAGCAAACTGGGGGAGGAGTGTTCCAGGCAGAGGGAGCAGCCAGTGCAAAGGCTCTGGGGCCTGCAGGTCTAGCAAGCCTGCTGTGTTTGAGGAACGGCAGGGGTGTCAGTGTGGCTGCAGCACTGAGAGGGAGAGGGAGAGTGGCCAAGGGGTCAGACAGGTAAGGGAACAGACCATGTAGCATCCTGTAGGCGTTGTAAGAACCCTGCGTGAAACGGGCACACAAAGGAGTATCTTGTTATTGTTTTTTCTTTGATTTGCGGGCAGTAGGGGTCTTCGTCATTCCAGTGCCTGGAGAGGGAGGGACATGTTGATTTCATTCAAAGAACTTTTCTTGCATCAATCAACCCCCAAGCCCACTCCCTGGCTGAGAGGGAGGATATGGGGTAGGCAGAGAGAGGGAAACAGCCGGGGCAGGTGTTGGGGTAGATCGTGGCTAAGCCCGGGGTAGGGAGGAGGAGAGCGTGGGGCTGGGGTGCCCTTCGTGCTGTGGCTGAGCTGGATGTGGGGCGGGAGGGAGGGAACGCGGCCCCACTGGGGCTGGGGCTCAGGGGCTGTGTGCCTGCAGAAGCAGCCTTCAGTATGGCATCATGTGTCTGAAGAGGCTGAATTATGACCGGAAGGAGCTGGAGAAGAGGCGGGAGGAGAGCCAGCACGAGATCAAGGGTAAGCTTGTCAGGCTCGGCGGAGCCTCTGCAGAAAAGGTGCGGGAATAGCCTGCCTTACTGGTTCCTGCCGTGGCAGCGTGGAGAGGAGGCGTCTGTGCCTCTGGGAAACTCTAAAGCTGAGAGTGAAGATGCAGCCCCAACCTTGGGGGGCTCCCAGCTTGATAAAGGAGACAGTCCACACCCGTTTGGCTGCAATACCCCTCCCTCCCATACACACGGGACAGTGGCCACCAACTGGACAGATGCAGTGAATCCCCAGGACAGTGCTATAGCCTGGTGTGCTCATGGCGCTTGGTGGTTTGGGTGGGGTCAGATGGGAAAGAGAGGCAGGTCTTAGAGGAGACCTTGAAGGCAGAAGGAATAGGAAGAAGGCCATTCCAGCCTGGGGCAGGGGGTTGACCTGTGCAGGGGCTCTGGGGAGAAAGCTGGGAGCCTGACCCCAACTCCTGCAGGCTGGTGTGGCTGGTTGTCCAGGAGCCCAGGTGCCAGGGAGGACAGAAAGATGTGGAAAGCTGGAGGTGGGCTGTGAGCCAGAGAGCAGGTGGACTGGGGCTGTGGCTCTGGGGAGCTCTATTTCTGTCCCCAGAGGGCCCCTTTTCTTTCTGCCCCTTTTCTTCCCCCGCCCTCCAGATGTGCTGGTGTGGACCAATGACCAGGTGGTTCACTGGGTCCAGTCTATCGGGCTCCGGGACTACGCAGGAAACCTGCATGAGAGTGGCGTGCATGGGGCCTTGCTGGCCCTGGACGAGAACTTTGACCACAATACGCTGGCCCTGGTCCTCCAGATCCCCACACAGAACACCCAGGTGGGTGACCTTTTAATCTCTCTCTCCCTTCCTCCCTCACTTGCTCTCTTTCATTCTCTCTCTCACACATGGAGGCTTAGGGGGTCTTTGTGGGGGTCTTTTCTGGGGCCTGTCCCAGAAGAGATCACAGTGTCCTCAAACCTCCAAGTGGTCCCTGTGCATGACCAAGCCCCCTCGGGAACATGTGTCCTTTACATACAGAGCACACCTAGCACTGGCCTGGAATGTAGTGTGTCCCTACGATGTGTACCCCACACTGCTGTGGGTACCCCATCTCCTTCCAACCCCATTTCATAGAGGAGACTCTCTTCCTGCCTTTTGCACACCCTGCTTCTCTGACCTGACTTTTCTTAGAGGAGAACTGGCCCCGGGGCCACAGGGACCAGAGAACCCATCTCTCCTTTGACTCCCGTCCTAGGGACCTGCTCCTGGGCCCCCAGACTTAAAAAAGCTAAATATACCAAATTACACAGCCCAGAGCCTCTCCATGCCAGGACTTTGTCTCCCTGTCAACAGCTCAAAAGATTAAACATCTCCTTAAATTACATTCCATCATTTTTATGGAGCTGTCATCCCAGAATGTATCTAAATTCTCTTGAATCTATTTATATTTTTGGCCTTTCTAACTTCCTGGGGGTAATGGATTCTAGAAGTACAACTTGTTGTGTAAAGTACTTCCTGATTTTATTTGTCCTAAATATGCCCCTGTCAGGCCTTCCCTGGGGAAGGAACTGCTTGGTCCTAATAGTTTAGGTTTGGTAAATAGGTTTGTGTCTGACCAGTTCTCACCTTTTGTGATTTCATAAACTCTGATTGTGTTGCCTGTGGGCCCAAGCCTTTGTCTCTCCAGGCAGAGTGGTCTTAATTCTTTTAGCCTTTCCTCATATAGACTCGCCTCTGTCCCCTGATCGTTTTAGCTGCCCTTGTCTGGACTGTTTGCAGCTGTCAGATCTCTTTTGAAATTCAGCCACCAGAGCTGCACGGGCTATTCTGGGAGCAAACACATTTTGGCTTGAGTGTGGGTAGAGCTGTGTTGTCCCATAATTCAGGACAGTGTGTTGGCCTTTTGGGGGTGGTAGCAGCACACAGGGCCAGTGTGTCCCGTAGACTCTCTGCAGTGACCCCCCGGCCAGTCAAACAGAGAGCACAGGTCCCTCATTCTCTAAGAAGAGCTTGGGGTCTCCCAAGTACAATTTCTCTCCACTTGCCCACCTAGAAACTCATGTGCCGCCTTCATGCCACTCACACAGCTTTGTGAGATGCTTCTGAAGTTTATACCTATTCTTGTCACCCTTCGCGACACAGAGGAGCAATGTTACTTGGATACTTGAAAATTGACTATGCTTCTCCTTTCAGATCATTTACAAAAATGTTATAATCCCATAGTGACAAAGACTGTCCTTATGGAACTTTATGGTTAATATTTTCCACCGAGAAATGGGCCTTTCTCTTTCTTTGGTTTCCTATCTCTAAATGCATTCAGTTTTTGAAGATAGCAATAATTCTGTAAATCATAGCTATTGCTTTCTGACCTTTCTTATTTTCCTGACCCAGTCATTTAGCTTAGCTATTGGGAGAAGTAGTATCTGACTCAATGTAGAATCCTTCATTAAAAATATCTGGTGGCAGTTTTGAAAACTCTCCTGTTTCTGGCATTTCTCACAACTCCCAATGAGTTAATCTCCTGAGAGGCCGAGAGAAAGCCTGTGTGCACCACACAGCCCAGGGGCCACCGATGTCCATGACCGAGCAGTCTTCCTAATTTAAATTTGCAATGTGGAACCTTATCGGGTATATTTATTTAATCCAAATAAGTTACGTTATGGTTATCCATGGTCTCTATGCTTATTTAGCCCTCCAGAAGGGACGTCAGGCGTGATTTTCCCTTATAGACAATTTATTTTTCCTATAGGTAAAGCCTGTCCATCCACATGTTCTGTGATCCTCCTTTTAAAAAAATTACATTTTCCTAATTTGCTCCCTATGAAAGAATCCTGAGGCTTGCACTTTCATTTCTGAGGTTTGCTTGAAGGAGCAGCATCAGGAAGGTGTGTGAAGGCCTCGAATGGGCTCAGTGCACTGAAACTCCCCATCTCGGCCCTTGGGCCCTAGGACACAGGTGAGAGATGGCGTAGAGGTCATTAACCAGAGCCCCTCCCACCTCTCCTCCTCTCACCCTGTGGACTCCAGGCACGCCAGGTAATGGAGAGGGAGTTCAATAACCTGTTGGCTTTGGGCACAGACCGGAAGCTGGATGATGTGAGTATCTGGCTGTGAATTAGGGGCCTTGGGGATTTGGTCATCACTGGTTCATGGGATTGAAGTTGATGAGTTCTGCTCTCCCTGGGCTGATGACTGGTGGGCTGGACTGAGGGGAGAGAGCCAGAAGTGATGGGGTGATGCCAGGGGTTTGGGGAGGCAGGCCAGGCCTGGCAAGACTTGCCTTTGAGTAGCAGTAGGCTGTGGAGAAGTCTATGAAACTCGTTTCTTGTATAAACCTGAAGGCCCCTATATGTTACACTTCTAGAATCTTCCAACTCTGGGCCCAGCCCTCCTAACCACGCAGGATCAAGCTTTGGGATTATACCTTTTTCCTTATCTCTCAGACCCCATATCTTCAGTGCCACGAGCCCGGCTCACCTCCAGCCTGCTCAGTAGGATTCCAGCTCAGCCCACAGGAGAGTGGTGTTTGCAGGGGGAGGCCCTGCCGAGGCTGTGCCTTGACAGGTCTGCGCTCTCGTTCCTCAGTGCAGTCGACACAGCTAAACACACGGCTCCGGCTTTCGCCCTAGTTTCACTCTCGGCGTGACCTTCACGCCAAGTTAAAGTTTTCCTCTCTCAGCCCTGCTGGTCACTGAAGCAACAGTCCCTGGTACTTGATTTCACTGGGCCTTCGCCTGGAGTTTAGGGAAGACCCTGACATCCTGAGCCACACTCTCCCCTTAGAGATGCCCACCTCCTCGCCTGTTTTCTGAGGACATGGCCCCCACCTCCCCTCCCTGCCTTCTCCCGATTCTCTTTCCTGTCACCAGCCTCGCCTGCCCTTGCCTGCCAGGTCTGCCTTAGCTGATTCCGCTGCAAGCAAGTTAAAAAAGAGCCCAGAGGATGTTTATTTTTAGCTTCTCCATCTTCAATCAGATCATTGTTTCTTAGTGGGTTTAACAGGGCTCAGCCTCACCTTTGCAGAAGGATCGCTCTGCCTCAGTAGGCAGGTCATTCTCAGGAATGCACAGAATTTGTGGACGTAGGTTTTCTTCACAGAGGTAGCTTGAAGTCTGGGGGAAAATCTCTCTCTATGTGTGTATATTTAGATATACATACACACACACACACACACACACACACACACACATACATATATATATAGTTTTTTCCAGTCAAGGAGTAAACTTCTAGACCCCCCAGTTGTCCCTACTCTGAGAGATCTTAACCTTCCCAATGCCTGCGTGATATTGACCCTCCTACTTATCCCCCACACACCTAGGATCTTAGCTTTCTTTGTTGCTATCTGGAAAAACGACTCGTGTGTGTGTGTGTGTGTGTGTGTGTGTGTGTGTGTGTGTGTGTGTATATACACACACATATATTAGTATGGTGTTTTCTGATTTAGAAAACAATTTAGAGCTGGGTGCAGTAGCTTGTGTCTGTAGTCCCAGCCACTCAAGAGGTTGAGGCGAGAGGATTGCTTGGGGTCAGGGGTTCAAGACCAGCCTGGGTGATATAGTGAGAACCTGTCTCAAAAAAACAAACAACCCCCCCCAAAAAAAACAAAAACAAAAAAGCTATTTAGTCTTTTCTCATCCTTACAAAAATATTCTTTGAATATGTGCTCTGTGCCAGGCATTGGGCCAGGCGTGGTGGTATAATGGTGACATGTCTCACTTTATGATAATAATCACTGTGAGAGGGTTATTATCCCCATATTACAGATGAGGAAATCAAAGCTCAAAGAGGCAACTTTTCATGGTTTCTGCCCCCCTGGGAGCACAGAATTTGAAAGCAGGAGTGGGGGGAGTGAAAGCAGTAGAGGTAGGTAGAGAGGAAGGAGGTGAGGGAGGGGGCAAGAGATACAGTCATGAGTTGCTTAATGATGGGGATACGTGTCTTTGGGTGATTCTGTCCTTGTGCAAATAGCATACAGAGTGTAATTACGCAAACCTGGATGGTATAGGCTGCTGCACACCTAGATATATGGTGTAGCCTATTGCTCTGAGGTTGCAAACCTGTGCAGCGTGTTTCAGTACTGAATACTACAGCCAGTTAGAAGAGAATGGTAAGTATTTGTGCATCAAACATATCAAAACATAGAAAAGGCACAGTAAAAATACGCTATGGGAACCTTATGGGACAAACGTTGCGCATGTAATCTCTCACTGACTGAAATGTTATGCAGGGCATGACTATTAGTGAAAGAACGTCATACGTCCATGTAAAAATGCTCCTAGGACAGGTGCTACGACACAGAGGCACACCGTGCTAAGAGCTAGTCTGAGCATTTGGCCTACTCAGGGCAAACACAACAAACCCGAAGGGGTTGGGGCTGGGAGGGGTTGCCGAGGCAAGAACAGGTGGGTTAATGTCCCTTGTGCCCGCCTGTCCACTCTGCCTCCATCAGTTCTGAGATCTGGGTGGAGGGAGATTGGGCAGGGCTACAAAGCAGGGTACATGTGGCCTTTGAAGGGTGCAGAGGGGCTCCTGTAGGGTTGCTGGGTGCCCTTTGGCAGAGGTGGTTATTTTGGAGACTTGGCTGGCAGGGGTGTTGGGGCAGATGGCAGGGGCTGCCAGTCATGTCCTTTGGAGGAGCCTGCCTCTGCTTGGTCATCTGCCCAATCACTGTCACAGGGTGCTTTCAGCTGATCTCATTAGGGTTAGGCAGCCTCAGAAACAGGGCAGATGTTATCCCATTTTACAGATGAGGAAACTGAAGCTCAGAGAGGTCACTTACTTTGCCCAGGATCACGTATCTACTAATAGTAAAATGGCAGAGTCAGGATTGGAAGCCAGGTGTCCTGACTCCTGACACAGTGCTCTTCCAGCAACCCAGGCCACAGCCATAAGGAGGCCCCAGGACAGAAGAGTGTGTATGGGGGGCTGGCTGGTGACCTCCCATGGGGTGAGGCTGAGAAAAGGAACACCTTGAAAGGTCACTGAGCATCCCAAGCCCAGTATAAGAAGATTGGGGTGGGCAGGGAAGCAGAGTTTAACTGCAGGGACATCCACCAGATTCCACCTCCTCCCCATAACGCCCTCCACCCACCGCCTGGGGACAGAACTTCAGGTTCCCAGATTCATTTCCCAGATGGAAAAACTAAGGGCTAGAAAGGAGAAGCGACCTTGCTCGCTCTTTCCAAAGGGATGGGTGCGGTACCCCTAGAACCAGCCATGACCGCCCTCCCCCGGGCAGGCAGTGAGGGTAGCAATTTCAACGTGCCCGTCTGGCCTCTGCGTGTCCCCCACGGTGCAGGGGGACGACAAGGTGTTCCGCCGCGCGCCCTCCTGGAGGAAACGCTTCCGGCCGCGGGACCACCACGGCATGCTCAGCGCCTCCGCGGAGACGCTCCCGGCGGGCTTCCGCGTGTCCACCCTGGGGCCCCTGCAGCCCCCGCCCGCCCCGCCGAAGAAGATCATGCCGGAAGGTGAGTGGCAGGCTGGGCGCGGCCGAGGCCCGGCCGTTGTGTGGGGCCCGGCCGGCCGGCGGAGAGGGGCAAGGCCGAGGCTGGCGGCCCGCGCTCCTTCCCTCCGGGCTGACGCTGCACTAACGGCTGCCGCGGGGACGCGGGCACGCGTGGGCCGCACTAACCCGCCGCTCTGTGTGTTCTCCCGCGGCTGCCGACTCCTCCCAGCGGGGACGGCGGGGGCGCAGAGACTGGAGACCTCCACGGTGCGGACCTACTCCTGCTGACCCCCCAGCCTCCCGCCCCGGGTCTGACGGGGGTGTGCCCGTGGCTCGGGGTAAGTGGGCCAGGCCCCGGGGTGCGGGCGCTCTGCTGCTGGCCCTCGGCCCCACGCACCTGCCTCTGGCCGCCGGCCTGGCCCGCTCGCCAGCACTGCACGGCTTGCCCCTTCCTGCTCGTGTGGCCGGCGCTTTGCACTGCAGGTAGATCGCCCGCACCCCACTCACAGCGCCATGCCTCTCTCTCTCTCTCTCTCTCTTTCCCAGCTCACTCCCACTATCTCTACGGACACATGCTCTCTGCCTTCCGGGACTAGCCACAGGGCCGGCTTCCTCTTCCTGGGTTTCACAGCCTCCACCGGCCCTCACCCCTCCTGCTCGGTCCTCTTCCTCCCACAGCTCCTAGTCTCCTCGTGACTTTCCACTTGCCCCTGATCTCAGCATATACGCGTCCATCCGCCTGGCACCCCACTACCCCAAGTCCCACAGTATTTCCTTTGTAAGTCTTGGCGGCTGTGGCTGGGGTCTCATGGGGGTGCAGAGGCCCAGGTTGTCCACGCGTGGGACTCTAGGGGAGCCAGAGAAGGGCAGCCCAGGGAGCGTGTGCATTCCACCCTCCCTCTCTGGACCTAGCCTGGTCTGGACTACAGCTTCCACCAGGATGAGGATCCTGGGCCAAGGGCTGGGATGACCCTTCCAGGAAAGGGTCACCAGACTCTGCCCTGCTTGGGCTGTTCGGCCTAGGGTCCCTGTCCACTGCTGGCTTTGCCAGATGGTCTGACCGCTGGTGTTGGCACCCCCAGCACCACCCCTTCCCCACTCCATCACCACAACTGCAGTTCCTGCCTCTAGGACCTGCTTGGGGGTTGGTGGGGGGCTGCAGAGGGCCCTGTTCTCCCTCAGGATGGTAGGGCTGGGAGGAAAAAGACGGAGGTAGAAATTCCAGGGCCTGGCTTAAGCTGAATCTCAAATGTGAGTTTGGGAAGAATCAGAGAGAAAGCGACCCCTGAGCTTTGGGCAAAGGGTGAGGATGGAGAAGCTCTCAGCCCCCTGCCCAGTGAGAGGTGTAGGAAGGCCAGCCAGAGGGAGAGCTGGTGGCCTCTGGTAGCCTTGAGCCCAAAGGGCAGTGGGAATGCCCCCTGCCGGGCTGGGAGGAGGGGGGTTGTGTGGCTCGGGCTCTGGGGCAGAGCAGATGCAACCACGCACTGCTGACTCTGCTCCCCGCATCCCTTCCCTTTCTCTCCCCTCTGCCTCTCTTCTCTAGTAATCCCAGCCCCATAAGAATGAACCTGAGGGGAGGATTGAATATACATTGACCCTAAAATCATGTTAGGGAAAAAGGCAGACTGAGGCTTCCTTTCTCTGTCCTCCCAGGAAGAAAATAAAGCTCCCCCTCCCGTAAATCATGTCCCAGGTCCAGGAAATCCAGTGTTGAAGGCAGTCACTCTCCCGCCTGTCCCCGAATCACCCAGCCCTCATTCCGTGCTCTTTTGGAGTGCAAGGACTTTCCTCCAGAAATTCCCAAGACCCCCCAGCTCCCACCATTTTAACTATGTTCTCTAGGAGCATGGTGGGAACCAGGGCTGAGGGATGCAGAGTGCAAGAAATCCCTCTTCCTCACCCAGTCCCTCATTCTACAAAGGTGCCTGAAAATGTTCAGGACTCATGGGTGGGATGATGGAACCTAGGGCTTCATCAAAATTAGAGGAAAGCAAGAGTGCCTGGAGCGTGTTCCTTGGACAGGGGCCAGTGCAGTGCCATCCTGCAGGTGGTCGGAGCAGCTGCTTTGCAACCTGATCTGCTCGGGTTCTGAGCAGGGGCTGGACTAGCAGTGGGATAATGGGCCAGAGCACCCTGTCCAGAAGGGGCGATGAAGCCTGGGGCAGTGCCAGGGCTTAAGCCTTCTGCCACTTTGCAGTAGAGGAGAAGTTCGCCAGTGGTGTTGGGTGGGCGCTCCCTAGGCTTGGGCAAGGCAGCCACCTGCCCTTGCTCTCCCTCCCTGTTCCCTGGCCTCCTTGCCCACCAGGCTGCTTGAGCTGGAGGAGTCGTTGGACAGAAAATGAGTTGGATGGACAGAAAGAGCCCCCATCCCTGGGTAATGGATGCTAAGATCATGGAGAAACCCCAGATTCCTGAGATGGGTGGAGTTGAGCACTACAAGGCCATCTGACTCCTTCAGGTCAATGGCCTAGCTGTGTGGGAGATTCAGCCCCAGCCTCTCCTCCCTACAGCGTGACCCCGTCATGGTTGGCCATGTCATAAGGCAGCAGCTGGGGGGAGCCAGGTCCATTCAGGGAACCTTGGGAGTATTGCAGCAAGGTGATAGAGAAATCTGTGCGGACAGCGATGGCGTCTTGGTGTATCTCTTGCCTCATAGTCAATATATTTTTTTCTTTGGAGAGTCACCAGTGACCCGAGCCCTCCTCACCAGCCTCCTGTGTCTTGTCAGGTCCCTTATCAGTACTGTACTGGCCCAGTGCATCAGGAGTGTGTATGGGTGTGTGTGGGTGTGAGTGTGGGTGTGTACACACCAATAAACAACCTGGTTTTAAGACATACAAATGCCTCTGGTCTTTTTTTAAAAAAAACTTCGAGTTCACTTGACATTTCCAGTTTTTTTTTTTTTACAATCTTAAAGGCTGCTGTACTCTGGGAAGGAAATATCGCAGTTTTGAAACCTTATAGTCAGTAATCATCTGCTTGCTTATGTAACCACAGGGTTGCTACAGAGGTTAATGTTTGGGTTGCTGGTGCCAAGGGAGTAGAGGGAAAGATGAAGGAGAGGAGCCGGCCTGCTGGGCGTGATTGATTTCCTCTCTCCTCTCTGCTCACGTGCTCAGGTGTGTCTCTCTCCCACTGCTCCTAGAGTTGTGTCTCCCGAACGCCCCCTGGTCACATCACTCCACTGGTCGCACTTTCAGCAGGTCCCCACCGCCCCCTGATCAGAGGTCCAGCTCCGCCTCGCTGTGGCACGAGAAGCCATTCATGACTGGGCTCCTTCCCCCTCGCCTCCCCCCACCAGTGTCCAGTCCACCCGACTCGGAAACATGGTGCCCACCCGGCCCCTTCACCAGGAGGCGGCGTGACCACGTCTCTCCTCACCTTTCCAGCTTGGAGCCTCCAAGATCCATTTCAAGCATCACCTGGGAGACGTCACCTGCCCCTCCCCAGCAGAATTAGGTAACCAGCAACCCTTTGCTGCCTGAGTGCCTCGTGCACACTGCACATGCCGTGCAGCAATTGCCTTCCTGTCTGTCCCACACGGGGATGTGAAGAAGCTCCTTCAGGTCAGTCTCATTGATCTCTGCATCCCGTGATGGACATATTGAACGGAAAAATGAAGCAACCTTCTCTCAAAGGGTTGTTACAAGGATTGACATTCATAAGAGCTAAAAATTACTGAGTGCTATTGTGTGCCAGACACTTTTCTGAGCATGCTAAATGTATTAACCCACAACCCTGTGATGTATTCTCGCCATTTTATAGAACAGGAACCTTTCAGACTAAGACTGCACAGCTGGTAAGAGACAGATGTGGGTCTCAAAGCGAGGTCTTCCTGACGCCAGTGCCTTGTCCTTCACTGCAATGTGTTAGTTAAAACTCCTGACCCAGCGCCAGGAATGCACACCAAGTGTTGCTTGCATCTCTTTTAAGTGTGCTCGAGCCTCTGCTCCTTAACAAGACTTCCTCAGTGACCAGCTCCCTTTCCCCAGTGCCTTTTCTGTGCCACTTGTGTGGTCCCTGGCACCTGCGAATCGTCATGGAGTTTTGTTTCTTCTGCTCATGGAAGTGGTGAGCTCCCATTCATGCAGGATCACGTGCCAGGCAACCTTGTATCCTCTCCGAGGCTGGCAGTGCCCCAAACACTGATGGAGCACGGATGGCAGAGTCCATGGGTACAGGTGACGGGAGGGGAGCAAGACAAGGCAACCTGCACATGGCCAGGGAGGGCAGAGGGAGGCGAGGGAAGGTGCTGGCCTAGGGTCTGGAAGCCTCTGGGGTTCCCTCCCTCTCCACAATCAAAGGTAGAATTGACGAGCCTCGGGGACCAGCTGGCTACAGAAATGAGATCTTTGCTGAAGGGATCCAAAAAAACGACGACTTCCCCATGTTGTCATCCACTGGGATGGGGGAGGTAGGAGGAGCAGGCTCGTGTGGAAATGTGAGTTTGATTTTGGAAATGCTGAGCTTTAAGTGAGATCCCAACAACATGTTTCTGTCGGCATTTGTAGAAAAGAAAGAAGAATCTAGGTTTCTTTCTTAGGATTCATTTCTGCTCCAAGCAGTGGGAGGCAGGGAGTTGGGATCCAGGTGGGCGCCTATGGCGAGGGGACCACGGAGAGGCGGCGACTGGGTCCCACTCAGGCCTGGGCTACGCTTCCTCAGCCAAGACCGCAGCTCCTGGAGCCTTCCAGGCTCACCTTCAGGCTTCTCTGCCCCAGCCTGGAGCCCAGAAAACAGGAATTTAGGAAAGTCCAAGGGACCTGCCATGTTGGGGTGGTGTTTTATCCATGACACAGGTGCCTGAGTTGAGGGGGCCTTTCCCTCCATTGTCCCCCTGCTCCTGCCTCCCGCTCCAGTTGATCCAAGTGCCTGCTACACCTGCAGCACTTAAGTTTTCCAGTCTGCCAAATAAATCACCTTGAAAGGTTAAACACCTAAGAATGTTTATTGGAGTGCAACAAATAGCACTTTAAGCATTCTTCAATTCACACCGATTATCCAAACACTGTAAGAGGAGTTCCTATTTACACAGTCACAATTGATATGTCAATTTTAAGTAATTTTTATCTTTTCATTCTAGCAGATTCCCTGAAGCCCATTATTAGGCAACATTTGATTAACTCACTTCGAGTTAGTGTAGGTACTTCCACTAAAGAAAGAATTTAAGCTAATTTCCCTAAAGAACTCAACTCATTATTTATTAATTGGAGTCTTAACTGTAATCCTATTGTGAAGATTAAGCATTTGTTAATTTAAGAAAGTCCCTGTGCTTTGATGATAGTTGTTTGTTCTGTGAAAATAATGAGCGAGGCTGGGCTCCTGCTTGGCACAGTTTGCCATTCACGCCTGTGGAATTCCAGCAAACCGTTTCTCCCTTAAGGATTTAAAGACTGAGAAAGTCAGGAGAACTGCAGTCCCCAACCCTCGGGCCGTGGCCCATTGCACGGACTGTTACGCCCGTGCATGACCGCCTGAGCTCTGCACCACAGCCCTGCAACCCACGACATCCCTGTCCCCAGTCCGTGGAAAAATTGTCTTCTGTGAAACCAGTCCCTGGGCCCAAAAAGGCTGGGGACTGCTGAAGGAGACAATGACTACACCAGACCACAGTAGGGATCCACAGGCCTGAATGGCAGCTACTGTTGTCTCCAGGAGCTATTGCTGAGGCCTGTTCATTCTTTCCAGAGTGTGACCACAAGCCTCAGTTTCTAATGGACAGGAGGACTGAAGAAGCATGGAAGATACATCCAGCAACCCCAGAGCCTGCCAGCTCCTTAGCAGAGTTGAGTGCCTTTTCCGGCCAGTCTGAGCCCACAGTAAGAAAGGGGGCAGGGGACAGGCAGGTCACAGCTGAAGGCAGCAGGGTATGTCCACCCCAGGAGCTTGGGAAGGGCCGGGGCAGAGGAAATGAACCTGAGGGGAGAGGATCCCCCTTGAGTGTATGGTTAGTGTTTCTGGTGGGTAACAAGGGAGTGGATGAGGGTCCTAGAGCCCAGGCGTTAGTCCAGCCTGTTGCCCTCATTCCCAAGAGCAGTGCCTCAGGGCTCAGAGCCATGGAAATGACCTAGGTCCTCCTCTCTACCCTTCCACCAGGAAAAGACGCTAAACTCCGTGACACAAACTCGAAAAGAGGAAAATCCCACATATGGGAGTCAATTTGCAATTCTGAGTAAGCCCAGCCCTTACCGGTGGTTTGGGAGGAAACCGTCTCTTCTGCACCCTACCCGGGTTCTGCGGGCCTCCTGTGAGGCTCCCTTCTTATTCTTGTCCTTAGGCAGAGTTTCTGGAGAAACTCTGGGGTACAGGGTTAACCCCCCTCTCTCCAGGAGTAAGGTCAGGAGGGCAAGTGTCGGGGAGATGGCCCAGCTGAGCCCAGAGCAAGTGCAGAACGGTCACCAGAGCCTCTTCAGCAACACTGGGTTAAGTCTCTTGTCAAGGGCCCCAGAGAATTGAACAGGGCTGGAATGTACCATGCTCTGAATCCCCAGACTTCTGTCATGATTCTGAGACTTACAATTTGCAACAAATAAGACAGACTTGGGCCAAAGCAGTTGGAATTAATAAAGTTTTTAGTAGATGTTCACAGTCCATTCAAATTCTATTATAGTTCCTGTTCACTCCTCAGTTAATCCTTACGTAATCTCTATCCAAAATCTTTGTTCTCAATTCCCCACCCACCTTCTCCCCTCAGAAAGCCAGTCTTTGAAAAATAGCATCCCAAATGAGGAGAACCCCAGCTTCTCTTTGAACCCTTTGACTGTTCTTTGAGAACTGCCCCCCCATGCCCCGCCCCGCAGAGCGCCCCTCATGCTCTGAGCTGCAGGCAGGGAGCAGGTCCCCTTCTGCCTGGAGGGAATGGAAGGGGGTGGCGAGGGGACCTGCTATTTGACCTGCAAGGAAGTGACAGTGTCTGACCCCACTGCCTCTGGTTTAATCACCTTCCACTTCTCTACAGCAGCTCCTGGTAATGTGGCCCCGGGGGAGAGGCAGGGATTAGGGAGGGGAAACCACAGATTCCAGATCTGCACCGCTGCTGTGGGCTGAGCAGGGCGTGTGAATATGCTCGATTATTTGGAAGCCAGGGGACCTATCGGCATATGAGAAGGAGCACAGCGGCCGGGGAGTGACGTCTGTGACTTAGAGGGCACCGGGGTGCTTGGCAGGCTTTCCTCCATGTCCCGCAAGGATTTCTGTGGAATCTGGTCTTCACCCAGCCTACGGACCAGACCCGCCTGACTCCCATCGCCATGGTAAAAAGAGCCTCGGTCCCCTGTGCCTAGTGACCAGCAAGATGGTTCGTGCAGCAGTTCGGAGCGACGCAGCCACCCCAAGCCCCGCCTCTAGGGCGCGTGGGACTGCTGAGTGGGAAGGGGAAAAGCTGTCTGCTCCCCTCATTCTACATCGTCCAGGCACTCTTTTAGCAAACAGTCTTTATTTGTTTTTTAAAAAAGGAAATCCAAATAAGTTAGCAAAAAAAAAAAAAAATACAAAACAATGGCAAAACCACACAATGCTTAGTTAACAAAAGAAATCACCCCAAGAACCCCCACTCCCTCTTCCCTGCCTGTCCCCAGCAACTTCAGCACAGAAGACCTTGGTCAGATGGCAGCTTTACAAACAACACACAAAACAAAACAAAACATAAAACCACTGGAAGGTTCCCAATATTCACTGCAAAAGCTTGGCCCCCCAGGGACTTGGAAACAGAGGACCGTTCCTCTCCCTTTCTTCTCTCTCAATTCAGGGCAGGCCCAGCCCAGCCACTGGCATCGGGAAGAGTCCAGAACAGGAGACAGGCACAGCTCGTCCAGAGCAGGACACTGTCCTGCCTC